AACACACACGCAGAATCGACATCGCTCCTTAATCGATAAATTGGTACCAGACTTCACCGAGAGGATACCAGTACTACATCTACGGGCCACCGTGAGTCATTTTGAACGTCAGATATGAATCCAATCACCGCCAACGAAGCTTAATGAGGTCGAATGCATGGCACATCTCTCAGGGATTGACCAACTCCGAGAGGTTTTTTTTACCATTCTTCTTGAATGCTTCATTAATTTTAATTTTATTGACATTTTACTCATCGATGGATATACGTTACAGGTTAACGAATATTTTTTCCAACACTTTAACGGAGCCATTTTAAAGAGTTTGGTCCTCTTCTTCATAAGAGATTTTTCATTTCTATGGGGATTTGTCTCGCAAACTTCCACTTTCAGGTAGTTCAGTCGCTCTTTAAGTTCAGTCTTATGTGAAACTTTCTTCTGAGCAAATTTTGGAAAATATCTCTGAAGATTGCTTGGTATTGTTGTCTCATTGATAATTTCTATGATTCTCGCTCAAAATCTTTTAACGAAAGACGCTTTTTGAATTTTTTGCGACCTTCTTAGTCATTTCAAGCTCCTGTGGAAAATGTCAAGTTCTCTAAAAAAGTAAGCCAACCAGCGTTAACAAAAAGCGTAGTTTTCTCTTAGTAACTTTCTAATCATTGCCGAAGTTAAGAAACTGCTGCTAATCGCCTTTAGTTCAAGGTGGGACGGTTTTATGGAACACAGTTGAAACAACGAGAGGAAAAGAAACTGGTTATGTCAAAGTTGTTTAACATCGGTGGCCACCTTGGGAAACAATCTCACGTCGAGCTGATCTGTTATCAGCGCCATTTTCTTTCGCCGCATGGTGAAAATATCACCTTTGAAACTTATAAGTTATAGGGATTTTCCACATTTATCAAGCTCATGGCGACTCGCATGCATTCCACACCATTCGTAGCATCGCAAATGATTGCGTGCATGTCTGGCCCATATAACAACTTGCAGTAGCCTACCGATGAACCAAGCGATTTTTTTTTCGCACTGCTATACAAATCCAGTGTCAATTTACTGATCCCGGGGGGTACAGCGTGGTTTTCACCGACGACGTAGGCTCGAACCAACGACCACAAGTGTTAATTCGGTAAGGATAGGAACTGAGCTTTGATTTTATCTAAAAAGCTGATCTAGAAGATTAGCAATCGAATGAAGATCGTACTGTAACCTGTAACCCTCTTCGCCATTTTTGAAGCCTCGTTCAGGTATACATGTATACTTGTGAACAGAGTACGGAGAGCGCACTAGTAGTGATGCCATTCAATTCACACAGGTTTACGGTTCAACACTCTCCGTGGTAACCTCCCATTCCCTCTCTGATTGCTACCCAACTTATCTACGAGGATGAAAACAGTGCCGTGTTACATCGACAAGCTCCTAGAAATTTAATCTGTTTAAATTGAAGTTCTTTGACTATTCTGAAGAAAATTTAAATCTTCAAGGTTTTCAATACAAATGTTTCACCCGGAAAACAGCAACGATATATTGATCGACGTCATCGTGGGTTCCTCAACAAGGCTGTACTTCGAAGGACCGTTTTTTAATTTCGCATGAATAATTAGTTTATATTTTTTATAGTTTCTATAGTTTTTAGTTTATAAACTGCCCTTGTTGAGCTGACGGAAGATTGTTATCGGTTGTTCATATAATTCGATGCGTGACGTTGAGAAAATTTCGCCTTCCTCGGAGTCATTCCCACTTTACAGGATATGAGGCCACTCGTGTGGGTGATTACGGATCATCCCACATGAACACACCTTATAAAACGGAAACGACTCTGAGGAAGGCGAAATCGCTGAAAAGTCATCCATCCAATTACAAGAGCAATCGATAACAACCTAGTTTCGAGTCAACAAGGATCGTTTGTAAATTTGCATAAAACCCTACTTTTGGACTGCTGTGGTGTCAGAAGTGAAAGCGCTGGTGAAAAAAAATCTTGTGTTTCAGTAAAAAAGTAGTTTCGTCATGGTAGAAGAGTATGCGTCCACCCTGTTGGTGAAGATCTGTAGATTCTAATACTATTAACTTCAACTATTCGAGTTCAATTCAAGTTTAGATAAGCTGGTTTGAAGGCGAAACTCTCCGTCAGTTTTATGTCACATGCACTGAAATCAATACCCGTAGTGCGCTATCCAAAATCAGTAAATTTCATTCAAGTTTGCGCCGAGGAAGTACCTGGTTACTGTAATTAGAAGCAGTTAAAATCAAGTAAACTAATTAAATCCATTCACTATCATGCGCGCTTTTGTCTAAATTACTCCATTTTTAATATTTCTAATGTATACACCAAAAGTTACGAACTTCCAAAGGTTGGGAAACGATAAGAAAGCTGTGAATCACATTTTAATGAAAAATAAAAACTATAAAGCTCTCGGCGTTGACCAATCCCTGACGGATGTGTAATTATGAATTCGACTTCATCATGCATCGTTTGGAGGTGATTGAATGAATGTCTGGCTTTTACTGGGGAATGACTCACGGTAGCCTGGATGTATCGAGTCAGTGCTGCTATGCTCCCAAACAAGTCTGGTAGCAATTTGACGACCTCGGAGAAATGGAAGGCTTAGTAGGCCATGGACGCGATGATCGAGCCCAATGTGTATTGCAGAGCGCCTCCCACTGCTGCGCAACACGCGTCCGTGGCATTTTAATATATGAAAAAACTTGATCGCGTTTTAATATAAAATAAAAATTATGTGAAAAATGTCCATGTCCGATATCCTGTAAACAGAGTCGATGAAATGCAATATGATGGCTTCTTTTTGGATTCACTTGCTACCTTCTAGAACTTTTACAACCTTCTATTTTAGCGCAATATTGTAGAACGTTTTTTGGTTGTTGTCATTGTTGTCAAACCTCCATCGATGATTTCGTTCCTCGGAACATCTTTAGGATGGAAAGTTCGGTTATTCGTCGATTAGTGACCAGTTCGCTGTAATTAGTTATCATTCTTCTACTTGCAAAAGGAAATCGAGCCTGGAAACTGTTATATGTTACTGTTGTTTCAGAGTAGAATGGGCGTGACGAATGATGAATTGCTCCAGATGGCACGTGATGCAATGAAAAACGCCTACTGGTTCGTGAATGAACTGTTTTATACTTTGGAAACCCTAAAACGTTTGCTGATGACGAAAAAAACAAACCTTGAAGTGTATTGCATTTAAGAATATGGCTTTAAACTGCCGCTGTTATAATTATTTCATTATAAAACTTGCCTAAGGAAAAAAGGGAAAGTAGGGAAAACTCATACAATACTTGAGCGTCGTCTCAACGTATTCTGAGGCTTACTGAGCTGATGGCGCATCTGAAGCGCCTCTGAGAATTTGTTTAGTTAACTTCCGAAAGCTGTTTAGTCCTAGAGTACTAGAGACCTTTTTTCTTTTCCTAGACAAATCAACCTCCTCATCGATCCATTATTACCCAGTAATCTACTTCTTCGTGAAAAACTGTTTCCTTTCCCTTCTATTATTTAAATACTCTTATTCGTTTTTAGTCCGTACAGCAAGTTTCCAGTTGGTGCTGCGTTACTTACGGATGACGACACAGTTATTCTTGGTGGTAAGGTGTTGAACTAACAGATTTTATTACACTTTTAACTATTTTTTATGCACTTAGTAATGAAGATGTTGATGATATTGAATTCTCTAAAGGGAAAAGAAGTTTTCAATGGTTTGACATTTTACCAGTAGACATTCTTAAGTGTCAAACAGCAATCGATAGCCACCATTCGTTCTTCACCATAGCTAGGACAAAGCTTCATGTTTCGATCCCGAACGCCAGTTCGGTGTTCATCAATGCTACGCTGAATATATTTAGTGCTCCATCCATGAGGTAGCCTGGCAAAGATCTATCCACACTCCATAAAGCGAAACTTTTCTCCAGGCCACAAAAATAGCACAAACTTTACCACTAAGGGTATCGTTCCGTGGCTAGCATTATTTTTAAATCTGGGCCATATAAGTATTCGATTACTAGATATAAAGCAAATTCGCATTACTGTCTGTTCCCGTTGGGAAAACGAACACTTACGCTTAGCGGTGTTTATTAAGAAACAGTAGATTTTTTTGTGGTCATAGATTTTATATTTTATATATTTTATAGCACCATTGCATATTCAATATTTGTTTCTCCCACTGTTCCAGTATATCATCAGACCTGTTTTTTGCTCAACCACTTGCTATTCCTCTTTGTTTCTTAGCTCTCATTCGAAGAAATCCCTCCAGGGTAGGAAATGCGAGCTTCTTTTATTCTCCGAGAGGATTTTAAAGCTAACGATTTCAAAATCTCCTTGGAGAGTCACACTTTTTCGTTGGTTGCATGTATTCTATAGTAATAATACTAAAAAGTAGTTTTAGTTTAATAGTACAATAGTAGATAGTTTTATCTCTTGCCTTCACGAGGCCTGTGTTAATAATAACCAACTTGCTTTGTATGGACTCTACTAGTGCTCACAAAATATTTTCCTTTTTCCTAACATAATTATTTTACGCATTAGCGACAAAATGCATTGATTTAGATGCATGCTAGGTCGGAAATTATTTAGCCTTTCAATTTTGAGCTACATATCTAAGGTATTAGAAAACTTTCGCTATCTCATTATACTACGATTGAAACATTGGTTTTCTAAGATCCACGATTTCTTCGCCTCCTTTATACTATGGCCTTTGCTCGGATAGTGTTTTGGAGAGCTTAACAAGTCGGAATTCGACCAATAAGGCTTAACTCTGGGCTCGTATAGCGCAATAGTTAGAGATGCCACGCATTCACAGTGAGCAGCTAGTTCGATCTTCTGTCACTCGGAAGTCAGTCCTACCAAACTTTCGGTATCCCTGAGAACACCGGACTTATCTTGGAGGATAGAAACACCGCTTAACATATTAGTAGATTTACTCACCTCTACGAGCCTTATGGAGTCTAACGTATGGCTATGACGGATGCATAAAAGATAGGTACATCAACGTCGAATGCTTTGCCGTTTTTATGCCACCAATAATCTCTTAAACCATACACTTAGCCTTCTGCATTTATCTTTACTTCACTTTTACTGTTTTCAGTGAACTGCGAGAATGCAACATACGGTGCTACGGTTTGTGCCGAGCGAACAGCTGTCACCTCAGCACTTGTGCGTGGATATCGTAAATTCAAGGCGATTGCTATCGGTAAGTGGGGACGCCGTTTTCCCATACGGGTGGCCTGTTCCATTTTCTGTACTGAGCATACTCCTAAACTCATTTCTCCGATTCGACATTTGTAATCGTGAAGTGTAACTCCACTCAGCGTGCAGCACGTTCATCAGCTCTTGTTATTTTCCGTCCGATTACTACGACCTCCAGCATAATTGGCTAATGGTTGCACAAAATACGAAAGTTTTTCTAAAATTTAAATTCGACAATCTTTTTTTTTATTCAAAGCTCAGAAGCTTAGAAAACTATTTGCTATTGTTATGGAGGATTGACGAAAACCGGTTTTAAGAAATCCTGGGTGGTTTTCGACATGTGAACGCCTAATTCAGTCACGTCATACCATTTCTACAAAAAGAATTTTTTTAGAAGAATATTACAATGACATGGTTTTACCAATTCGCTTTTTAAAAATCTTGGACGTTTTAACTTTTCTGGAATCTCTACAAGGGTTTTGCGTGAATCGCATATAATTCTTTTGGTGCTAAAACCCTCGATCGGACACATCACTGAGATATACATTCCTCCCGGTTTTGCGCTAAGGTGGACCAATACCTTTTCTCACTTAAGTGTTACCTGGAGGTACGTCACCTTTTGACGAGATATGTGCAGGTAACGTTGTTGAGCCGCGCAATGAGTGAGGTATGAGCCAGGTGCAGCTATGCATAAATATGTTGAGATTTCTTGAAATACACATAAGTTTAATTGGTTTAGGTGATCCCTAACCATGTTCATGTACTTCCCAATCACTTGAGCCCACAGTTAGTGGTCAAGCAGACGTATAGGATATATCCATGTGCTCATATGCACACTTATGGGTAAAGGATAAAAAGCATAAAGCTCTCAGCGTTGGTCAATCCATAAGGGATGCGCCATGCACTCGACTTCATTAATTATCATTGGAGGTGATTGAATGCATATCTGGCCTTTACAATGACTCCCGGTGGCCTACCGATGTATCGAGCTGGTGCTGCTATCCTTCCAGACAAGTCTGGTACCAATTTGTCGACCTCGGAGGGATGGAAGGCTTGGGCGCCATGGGTGCAGGGATCGATCCCATGTGTGTGTCGCAATGGCGCCTCCAACCACTGCGCCACACGCGCTTGTGCCACGTTTATAGATGAGGTATAAATTATGTGCATCCGGAAGATATAAGATGATTCTGTTCTTACCCACCCATGCGCTCAACCAGCTCTCAGTGCAAGTACACGGTTGTTTTTGGTCCGCATTGAACTCGCCATATGGAGAGACGCCATAATTAACCTTATAACCAATTTGCTCGAGATTACGAGATATATAATTTTTTCTTTTTTTATATGACCCGCCTTCACGTGCACTGTGCGGATCCCAGCACATCTCACATTCGACCAGTTTCTTCCCATCCATTATCCACAAAAATTTTCCAACTTTACGTGGGGCTTCGGTTGCTGTTTGAGGTTTTTCATTTCATCTTAAATGTCGTAGAATGCTGATCGAGCAATTCTTCCTGGAGTCCTGAGATAACCGGGCTGGAGCGTTTCCAATTTGATTGCACAGAGTGATTTTTTCACAGACAATTCCAGTACCAATTTTACGACCCCGGGGGAGGATGAGAGGCTTGGGTGCCCCGGAGCGTAGTCGAACTAGCACCACACTCGTGGTGACGGGCATCACTACAACTGTGCTATTTGCCTCGTTATATATACATGCATAAATATGTATATGTAATCTAGCGAATCTTGAGAATTTAACCTTTGTATCAAGTACGCCAGTCGAATCGACGTTGTTTATTGCGTGCAAGGGTCAGCAAACCTGGGTGCTCTTTTGAGCTCATTAAGACGCACTATACCCCACTTCTGTGCAGGGTCGGGATATTTGTACCACACTTGTCTGGCAACAGTTCACTTCCTTCCAATGCACATACGAACGCCCCAACGTGGCTAGCTTAGATTCCAGGATTCCAGTGAGAATTAGCTCTACTTTAATCCAATAATAGTCATGAAGAAGACGACAACACATGGAAAAACCGAAGATCTTCGTCGACGGCAAGAAATGTTGGGATGTGTACGGTAGCTGTGAGGACCGGCCGTGGGAAGAAATTTGCTTCTACAATAACTACGCAAAAAATCGTTTTTGCTTATTCGATTTTACTATTTTTGACGAAGCATTAAATCGTCAACTTAACAATTCAGCAACGAACGTGGCCGAGCTGTGCACTCCTTGCGGAATTTGTCGACAATTTCTCATCGAATTCGGTGACTATAAGGTGATGATTGTTCAATATTCTGTTGATCTAACTCTGGTTTGATTATTTTTACATAAAGAATAAAAGCACTCGGCGTTAATCAATCCCTGAGGGATGCGCCATGCATTCGACTTTATTAAGTATCGTTGGAGATGAGTGAATGCATATCTGGCCTTTACAATGATTCGCGGTGGCCTACCGATGCATCAAGCCAGTGCTACTATTCTCCCAGACAAGTCTGGTTCTACAATTAATTAAAAAATATTAACAATTGACAATTTCGTTTTATACAGCTATGCTTTTCGTACGTGCCTTCTGAATTTAACTGTATACTTACTTGGATGGCCCGCCTTCAAAGGATATGAGGACCCCAGCATTATTCCAATTTTTCGGAGATTTGGTGGTTTAGCTATTGTGGTACCCTGCTGTCCCGAAGTCAGCCTGACCAAAGTCTTCCCTAAGTCGTCACCACCACAGGAAGTCGACGCTGTTGTGGATTAGAGGAAGATTTGCCACCATGCGACTAGTTTGATATCAGCACGGTGGTAGATCCTGGGGTTCCTGGTATTGGTATTTAACTGTATAATTGCGATAGATATTGACATCACATTTCAGGTAATTATTGGCTCAACGACTGGGAAAAATGTACTGTGCACCTCAACTTTTTCCATGCTTCCGCATGCCTTCACACCAGCAAGTCTGGGGAAACACACCGACGAAACTGATAATTTATAATAGAATGCTGTAGCAACAGTGTATAATGTATAATAATTCAGATACTTATGTTTTCAGAAGTATAGGTGTTTTCCAATAGTGACGAGGATTTCTTTTGTATTTAGTGCTCTATTTTCAATGCAAACAGTTTGATCGATACGCAATGCCACGCATGTCGCGCTGCGTGTCGAACGGTTATCACTCAGCATTATCTTCGTATTTACTAGCTTTGGATTGATTTAGAAGTCTACTAAATATCTTACTCAGACACAGAATTCGATATTTGTTTGCTTTTAAAATATTGAAGTCTGGATAATCACTAATGGTTTTCCGGGAAACGTTTGTCATCCTTCTCGTCCATTTGCGTCCTATTGTAGAAGTCTTCGTTCCCGAACGTTTACTTCTTCTTATTCTTTTAGAATTCTTGCTTCATCATATCGATTTTTTGTCACTCTGCATTATCTCCGTGTTTACCATAATTGAATTGGTTTGGAAGTCTGAAAAATATCGTGCTCAAACGTCTAAATATGGATCTAAAAAAAGGTCTTCGAGTGTCGAGTTGGTTGAAAACGGATCTGCTCTATGAGCTGGATAGGCGTAGCTACTTTCCCGTTTGTTTCACTGTTTTATAGTCGTCATTCCCGGTGGTATCCCACTTCTAGCATGGTGACACTAGCGAGTATAATTCCATAATTCTGAGTCATATCCAAATGCAAATGTGAGAAGTCATGTCCCACAAGCAATCACTCCCATTTGTTGGAGGTCCACAGCACTACATTTTTCGCCCGTGTTTTACCAGATGTTTATTGCACAAGCAGAGGGCTCTCCCACATTCGGACTCAATTCTTCTGTATCACGAATTCGAGACAGTTTTCAAAAATAATCTGAGCACTCAATCAATTTATGCTCTGTGTGCTGGTTATTTTTCGCAAAACATCGTCCATGTAATTTGTGGTCAAATGCAATAATTTTGGATGTCATCTATACAGCGAAATACTACTCAGGACTTTTTCTAAACGAGTTTAGCTTTACCCAGAGTTAATGATTTGGGTAATAAGATAATCTGTGTAAACATACATATATGAAAATAGTAATACCAGAGAAGGAGAAGGCGCCGAAACATTGTCTGGACGAATATTTTCAAAGCAACTTCGTGTTTGCCTAGTTATCCACTAAAGTGCTGACTATTTATACTAAAGCTCAATTAAAGTAGGCTTTTTTGAGATATCATTTTCCTATGTGAGAACAATGAAATACCAACTGCTACAGAATTCATTGCCTTTCAAAAAAGCAGATTACATTGGGCAGGAAATTGATGAACATTCGTCGTTTACAAAAGAGCACCGTCGAGAGTGGAAACGTTATTTGAGCGCCGCTCCCTTCAACGGATTCGACTGGACAACGAGCACTTACATCGCGAGAGCGACCAGCTGTACACCGTCGACTAGAAAAGCCGAAGGAGTCGAAACTGTAGCAGAATAATTATTTTTATACTCCGGAATGTAGCCCAGGAAGACCACCGACCCAGTTGTCAGAGTTCTTCACGAAAAGCCTAGAAGAAAGATATGATGCTCAACGAGCTTCTAGAGCGAGTAGAACTCATTGGGCTACTCTTGCACGCGACAGGGAAAAATGGAAGATTTACTGGCGCCTGCTGTAGTCACTCAACGACCAACGAGACTACAAGTTATACAGGTTATATATATATATATATATATATATGTGAGGGTACGTGTGGCGCAGTGGTCGGAGGCGCCGTGCAACACGCACGTGGAATCGATTCGCGCACTCACGACCCACTAAGCCTTCCATCACGCGGGGTAGCGCAAATTAGTACCAGACTTGTCTGGGAGGATAGAACCACTGGCTCAATACATCGGTCGGCCACCGTGAGTCATTGTAAAGGCCAGATATGTATTCAGTCACCTCCAACGATACTTAGTGAAGTCGAATGCATGGTGCATCCCTCAGGGATTGATCAATGCCGAGAGCGTTATCCTTTATTTATTTTCATTAATGGATTACCAGGGTGGGATATTCGGCCAAAGTTTCAACAAATGTGTTTGCAATTGACTAGGATGTTGTACAAATGTCTATCGTTTTCTCCTTGTAGTTAATTAAATTTGATCAAAGCATGCTCTTTACATTGTGTCAAATTCGAAGAACCTTAGGAACTCAAAAAATCTAAACGAAATCTTTATTGCAAACTTCCACATTTAAAAAAACGAATGACGTTACAATGGATTTCTTTCGCAAGGGATTAAACCAGCATCACCCTTCTTTCATTACTCTGCTTAGATTATTCTCAACTCATAAATTCACTTGTTTTCTCTCAACTTTGCCTTTGTGTGGTCCATATGCTCAGGAACGTGAGATATTTCATGAAAGATAAGGTCCTTCCATCTCAGTAAAACAATTTTCGATTTGAGGTAGTTGAAGTGACTCGGCTTCGTTGAATGTTTTGTATAGCGCAAACTATCGATTTCTTCAGATATTCACAACTGAGTATCTTCCACGAGGTGTTTCGCATCTCAACCGAATATGCCAACGCAACCACTGGAAATATCAGATGTGGAGCCATACTGGAAGCGAGTTTGATTCTCGACAGTACCAAATAGGACGTAACCATTTGAGGATAGAGGCGGAGAAATACGTGGATCAGAAGCGACATCTGCAATGAATGATAATAATTGATGCTTAATACTTGAATGGCCCGTCCTCACTGGTTGTGCGGGCCCCAGGATAATCTCCATTTTTCGGAGATTTGCTGGTTAAGCCATTATGGTCCCCTGGAGTCCCGAGGTCAGCCTGGCCAAAGTCTGCTCCAGGTCTTCACCACCACGGGCAGTTGCAGCCCTTGTGGATTAGAGGGAGATTTGCTACCATGCGACTTTGATATCAGAACGGTGGTGGATCGTGGTATTGCTTTACTCTTACCTAGGCTTCCTGATGGAAACGTCGGACTTCTTCTCAGCATGGAAGACCCAGCCAAGGGAACGAATCACCCCGCTGTACATCGCAGTCTAACACCCAGGAACACCTCCCAACCACGATAAGGCGGCAAACCGTTGAGAGGATGATAAATGACAATTGGCAGACTAAAATTTGAAACCTTTTCTTAAAAAATATACTCCATTAACAGTTACAACAGGGTGAGAGGATAGGGTATGAACAGGTAGAAGCTCCCACTGTAATTGCTAAGTAGAAGCGTAATAGTGGTAAAAAAAATAACCACAATGAGGCTAAAATATTTGTAACACTCCGCACTGCAGGTGTCTACGGTGGCGATCGAGCCCGTTATTACCCTTTCCTTGGGCTAACGTATTCACCACCTCACTATGCGTTTCCTTAGTTTCGCTTTGCTCTCAGCCGTGTTTTAAGCTACACGTGTTATCAGCATTCACACGGCAACGGTATTGATCTGGAGAGCATAAATCGAAATTGAACCCAGTTAAGCTGAAGCTATAATAGTATAAATCACAATATATTCACTTTTAGCCCCGGAAAGGGTAATAATAGGTGCGAACCCTATCGCAGACACCTGCAGTCCGGAGTTTTGCAAATATCTCAACGTCATTGTGGTTATATTTCACATTATACCCTTCAATGAAAAGAATCGGCAGCATGTAAAAAGTGACTACACTGTGATGAGAAAGAACACCTTCTTCATATCTCTTCATAGTTCCTTTCTCCATTATGCTTTAAGAGAGCTACCGTCTTAAACTTAACTTTCGGTCAATTCTTTTTTCAAGGCATGGTATGATGACAAACCAAACCATAGGGATGCTGAGTTACGAGCAAATGTCGGAATCTTAGGTGCGCTTCGAGCCCGTGACTAGCCTTTCCTAGGGCCCACATATTACTTACCGCACCACTGAGCATTGCTTAGCCTTCTCTCAGCCAGTTTTTACTCTATCGCTGCTACCAGTAAACACGCATCAATGGGAAAGACCTGGAAAGCACATATAGCAGTGGACGCAGTTAAGCTGCTGCTGCAGTCAAAAGTACAATGTTTAGTTTTTATTTCAGCACATATCTCACCTTTATCTCTAGCTTTGTTTTTTATTTTAACGTATTTATAATTCTATTGCAAAAAAACCGTATTCAAATTCTCAGCTGTACCCATTGTCTTTGGGAAGACTCAGAGAGCATTTGAATGAGCATGCCGGCACATTAATGAAGAAGTGAGGATAGCCAGGAACAAGTACTGAAGGAGGCAAACGTTGTCCACAAAAGAAGACCTATGGAAACATCATTCTAGGCTTATAAATAAACAAAAATATCTAATTGCTTTTCTTACACTACAATGGATCATGCGCGTTTGTGGGAGGGAAGCTTTTACACCAGTAATTTTTACGTCAAACGACTTCAGATTTTGATAGAAATAAAATGCAGACCTGTAAATTTTTATGTTATTATTTCTATATTTAAAACTACTCATATTCTATGACATACAGTATATTAAATGTGTCATGGAGCGTGTAGCGTAGTAGGGTGAGGTGACCTGCAATTTACTTTAACACTTAGGTTCAATTCCGATCTCCAGATTGACAAGGCTACACATGCGTCCGGAGCTCGGTAAATTAGTACCAGGTTTGTCTCGTTGGATAAAATATGGACATAACAAAAAATGCATCAGTAAGTCAACATAACGCCAAATGCTTTGTTTTTTTACGCACTATTGCCAGTGTGTATATGACGAACCATACTAGATTAACGAAAGAAGAAAACAGAAAAACACGGTACAGAGTAAGAACTGCGAAGCCCTTACCAAATAGAAGAAGAGGATCACGATTCCCTGCTTGAGTGTGTCTCTTTCTGCTTGGTGTAGTAACGACATAGTGTTGTCGGAACGTACCAGCGAACGTTGCGATCGCAATGATATGAAGCACATCGCGTAGAATACTGTTGATAAAAGTGGAACGCCGTAAAAAATATAGCAGGAGATCTGTAAAATATTTTTTTGTCCTACTTTTTCGCTGCGGCACATACGTGGAATTGATCCCGGCGCCCATGGCCCACTAAGCCTTCCATTCCTCCGAGCTCAGAAAATTGATACCAGACTTGTCTGGGAGGATAACAACACTGGTTTGATACATCGGTAGGCCACCGCGAGTCATTGTTAAGGCCAGATATGCATTCAATCACCCCAAACGATACTTAATAAAGTCGAATGCATGATACATCTTTCAGGGATTGATCAACGCAGAGAGCTTTATCCTTTTTTTTACTTTTTCGCTTCCCATTTTGAAATCCTTCACAATCTTACCACCTTTCATTGAAAATGAAAACTATATGCAAAGTAAGTTTGAAACCTTAATCTTATTCCTTCTTTGATTCTTTGTCATTACATTCTTACATGGTAAGAGCTACGTTTTTGAATTTCTACCTGCTATTGGTCGTGAACCCTGGTATTGGTCACCAATACCAGAATCCACCACCGTCCTGGTATCAAAGTCGCATGTTGGCGAATCTCCTTCTGATCCACAAGGGCTGCGACTACCTGTCGTGGTGACGACCTAAGGCAGACTTTGGCCAGGCTGTCCTTGGGATTCCAGGGAACCACAATGGCTTAAGCAGCAAGTCTCCAAAAAATGGTGATTATGCTGGGGCCCGCACAACCAGTGAGGACGGCCCGTTGAAGTATCAAATAAGTAATTTAAAGACCTCGGAACCGAGGGTCAGTCTGTAGCTTTAGCTCATAACTAGATTATGGCTGATTGCTTCTATTTTCTTTCTTTCCTTCTTCCTCATTATCAATCATATCAGGGTCTTATTTCTATATTGTACGATTTCATACCATAATGTTAAATACGAATCAAACTTTTCGGATCCAATCAATAAATTGTGTAAACAATGTACCATAATCAGAGTCGTGTCCTTCGCAAAGAACATCACAGCATTTTCGTCGTCGCTGAATTTTTTCAGGAATCCACTTAACCTACAGACGAGAGCACCGACAACCATCGAAACCAGAAAAAGACCAATAAGCAGCCTTCGAATCTTTGTGCTGAATGCCACTTTAAGAATTTCGCAACAGTTTTTCTTCGAATTCTATCGAAAAAGTTGGAGAGCTTCATTTAATATCGGATAACATGTGCTTACTCCTAGACAAACATAAAGATGTCTATTGATTGATTGATTACTGCACCACTGATATTTTTAGAGGAGTGGCTGTCCAAAAGGTTACTTCATCGTCTGATCAAGCACATTCTCAAGGTCTTCCGGTTTCCAAAAAGTACGTGCATAAATGTCGAAAAGAATGGTGCAAATGAATAAAGTTTGTATGAGAGTGAACTTATCGTGAGAACCCATTTGATTTTTGATAACCTTAGCACCGACATTTTTTGGCACGGTTGAATTGGTGTAGTTATCGCGCAATTTGTTATGGAAGAAGAATTTATGTAGAAGTACTCCTGAGTGGATCAAGAATCTCGAAAGATAAAACACTGTCCTACCGTTACATACCCTGTCGTTAAAAAGAATAGGCAGTAAGTAAAAAGGTTAAGATAAAACACTGCCTTCCAATAATGCAAAAGCTATCATAGTATAACTATTTTTAACTTTCTTACAAACGGTTTACCGCCTGATTGTGGCTTGAAGGTGTTTCTGGGTGACGGGCTGCGATATACAACGAGGAAGTTCTTTCTCCTAGCAGGGTCTCTCAAGCTGAGAAGGAGGCCGGCCTTCCCATTAGCAAGCACAGCTAAGATTAAAGCAATACCAGGATCTGTTTCCGTCCTGGTACCAAACTAGTCGCGGTTGCAAATCTCCCTCTGATCCACAAAGGCGGCGACTGCGTGTGGTGGTGACGACTTGGGCAGGCTTTGGCATGGCTGACACCGGGACTCTAGAAAACCACAGTGGCTGCGCTAGCAAACCTTCGAAAAAATGGAGGGCGTGCTGGGGCCCGCACAACCTGTGAGGGCGGGCCGTCTAAACACTTGGGTAAGTAATTTTAACTTTAGTGATTGGACTATAATAGATGCTATATGTAGGACTTTCAAAGGGTACAATTTCATAGAGACACTTCCAGCAGAAAGGTAGTGGAGACAACAATAACTAAGACCTTTTACGCAAAGAACCCCAATCACAAAAAAAACATGAAGAGCTTTACACACCCCAAATTCTTCTTAAACTTACTAAATACCCTAGAAACAAAAGAGATATTCTCACGGTCCACTGAACAGGATATAACGGTTTCGTAAAACATAATAACGCCTTTCTGTGGATGGTTTCACAACAACTTAAGTTTCGAAAGTATCGTTAAAATTTCCTAGTGACCTCTTCTATTGGACGTAAAATTGAGAAACACTAGATCGCTTTGAATTTCAAAGCACTGGTAATGACGAAACTTTGAAGGAAAAGCTGCTCGTTACCAAATATGTTTTGTTTGCCACCGAGATAATTGGTCTTTTTTAACAAAGGATTCCTGCAACAGATTTCGGTAGTAGATTTTTTCAGCCTCACCTTTTCATTATTAAATTGCTGATCGACTTGGAACAAAATGCAGCGAAGCGATTCAAACCGAGTAGGAATATAAGTGTAGTGGAATAGTAAGAAGTAATCAACGAGATTAGTAGAGTACTGTTGCAAATAAGACTTGATTTGTAGCAAAATCCTTCTAAGACGACGGTGGAGACGAGATCGCCAGCATTTCCCATGACAATCGTCGCAACAAACGCCAACATTATCGTATAGAAGCTCCTCTGGAAATATTTCATTACTTCAATAGCTCTTAGTTAAACCTACCTAGACCAATGAATAAACGACATCACAAAATTATTAATGGCAGCGTTAGGTAGAAAACTAGTTGAGAAAAATGCAGATCAAGGGTCTCCGTGGCTAGTGTAATGCGCGACCCCCCGGAAAGGGAAATCGTAGTTCGATTTGGCGCGGGGTCCAAGTTTCGCCAATATTTCAGCATCGCTGTGGTTGAAACAGCACAGTAGTTTGCAATATCTTTTATTTGTAACAGTAGACATTTCTTTACTGCTTTAAAAGCATTGCTTGGAAAAAAAAAAAAAAACACTACTGGAAAAGCAAGGGCTATGCTTCTAGAGTTGGTCAACCCGTGACGGACCCTCCGTGCATTCGACTTCATTACCCATCGTTATAGGTGAATGAATGGTTATCTGGCCTACTCGATGAATTGCGGCATCTTACCGATGCAGCGAGTCAGTGTTGCTATCACCCGAGACAACTCTGGTACCAATTTGCTGATATCGGAATGATGGAAGACTTAGTGAGCACGGAGCGTGGGATAGAATCAGCGACCACACGTACATATCAGGCCACCTTTAAGAACTGCGCTACACGGGCCTCTTCACTATTTTGTTTACTTTATTACTTTAAATTTTAAAACGATTTACCTCATGGCGGTCTAAAATAACATGAACATTGGTAAGAGCTCTATTAAACTTACACAGAGACTTTTGCTGTGATGATATAACAGTACCACGAGCAAGAACAGGTTCATCACAAAGCTGACCATTAATACGATCACGTTGATCGAGAAGAACACGAAATATAACGAATCTCGGGGTGTTAATAAGATAGCATGAGCCACCATGCTTGAATTTTCCCCTAAAGCTTAGAAGTGAGTTTTCTGACAAGCAACATACAAAATTAATGGATCATTTTGTAGGAAAAGTCAGTGGAAACTCGAGCCAGTTGTCAAAAATATGAGTCTAACAGCTATTATATTTACTACCCAGATCAATCCCGTTGACGGGTGATTGCTGACGGCACTGATCGATAGAACTAGCTGAGAGACAGGCGAAACGAAGGGCCCGCATGATGTGGGGTTCAACGCGTTAGCCCCCGGAAACAGTAATATCGTGTTCGCTTCCCACCGCAGATACCAGCGGACCGGAGTTTTGAAAATATCTCAGCAACATTGTGGTTATATTATATTTACTATAACTACAATTATTAGCTGTTCCGTCCTCGTTGTTCATAAGATCTACCTCTACGAAATAACAGCATTAAATCTTAAGCATGTATCGTAATCGAATTACTCATCAGCTAGTTTAAAACACTACTGGAAATTTAGTTTCCGATATTTTAGTTTCACATAGGATTTTTTTTTTTACCAGTGCTATATAAATGAATATTCGAAAACCAGCAGATGGCCCCGTGAACTTTTCCCACTAGCTACAGATTACGGTAGCTCATGTCAGCGCTGTATGCCTCCATTAAACCGAATACTCTTCAAATTCTCGTACTACTTGGACTCGAGGAAGGGTTTTATATGGCTGTTAGTTCGCATTCAATTTTACAAATGTCCAGATTCATCGATATGTCGCTATTTGCTAAGTAGCTCAGTTCCCTAACAAAGATTTATTCAGAACGATTTATAGTGAAGAGAGATAACCTATCACACGTTGTGTGATTACTAGTCGGTTCAAAATTGGTTACGATAAATTCTATGAATTTTAATGACTGTGTGATGGAAAAGCCTCATGAGAAAAAAATTGCGGTGGTGACCTGTTCTTTCTACAATGAACTATAGAAAGAGCAAAAACTTAAGAAAGCTCTTTGCGATGATCAATCCCTGAGGGATGCGCCATTCATTCGACTTCATCAAGTATCGTTGGAGGTGATTGAATGCATATATGGCCTTTACGATAACTGACGGCGGTCTGCCGATGTATCGAACCAGCGCTGCTATCCTTCCAGACAAGTATTGTATCAATTTGCCGACTCTGGAGAGATGGAAGGCTTAGTGGGCCATGGGCGCGGGGATCGATTCCACATGTGTGTCGCATTGGGGCCCCCAACCACTGAGCTACACGCACCCATGGGAAGAGTACTGTGACAGATTGGGCAAAAGCTGTTCGGCAATTCTATAACAAAATTCGATGGAGTAGTTCAATTTCACTCCACCTTTATTCTATATTGTTTTATTCTACACTATTTTTCATCAAACAATGGCCATTAGGTTGTATTGCTTTATAAGAAAATAGTTGGAAAAAACTTGAACAATTATGGGTTAATAAAGACAGCCTACCAATCAATACGTCTGAAGATAACAGTAGTGGCCCAATTCCGACGAACATCTGAAGTTTTATTTGTCAAAACAAGTTTGAAATGCCTGTGATAAGCAGAGGTACTTTGAAGAGTAAGGTAAGAACTGAAAAGAGAAAAAAAAGATAGAAGGAATGGATGAACAACATGGAAGGAATGGATGAATAACGAAGGTGCTTCGAATTCTCTAAGAATAGAAATGAACACCACTTGTCAAGTTTTCCTTCGTATCACATGTGACCGTAATTCAATTAAGGATTTGTACTCAACCGAACTAATCAAGGCTGATAATAAAAAATGGCGTAGGATTTTCCGATTAGAGATTCTGACGATTTTCCTCATTATGTATTGTCTAAGACTATTAATCATTCTCAGCAGTAAAAAATCAGTTAAAAATTCTTACTAACATTAATGAAGCCACATTTTAAAGTGGTTATAAAAAAACCGTTGTCCATGGCCACTAGCAAAGTGCTCGTGACGTTTCTGACGTAACATAATGAAGTCTAAATTTACCTACATAACAAGGAAAACAACGAGAATGCAGGTGCTGCTTCAGACGCTTGAGGCAGGTGATCGAGCTTATGACCGAGAGGAAGTAGTTGAAAAGAGTGGGATATAAAAATAAAAAAATATGAATATCCAAAGGCAAAATGTGCCATTGTTTGACTATAGAGGGAAATACCGTGAAGTTCAACATGTGTTCAAATTGTTGAACTTACACGAGGCAATTAAGCGTTGCGTGTAACAACCTCTTGCAAGCTCAGCAACTTAAACACATGTTGATTAGGCATGCTGAAGCTAAAGGAAAAACCGTTTTGAGGTTTTCAAATACCGTGATATTCGTCCCCTCTCACTATTGGACTAAAGAATCAGACGTTTAAAAAATCTTTAGTGATAAACAAAAAATGCTGGACTTCGGACTTTCTCCTCAATAGCCCTGGATGTGCTAAATAGGAATTAATATGTGCAATAAAACCTCCAGTGTTGAAAAGTAGGTTCAATAAGGAACTATTTTCGAGATATAATTGGTGTGCGTTCCTAAATGCTGAGGACAAGCGTACGACTTTTATCTCGCTGACATTTTGCTGTTTGCCGCGTTTTTTTTCTAGACCGAAAGCCTTTGTAGATCGAAGGAACATTGCTGCAATGATTCTTCTACTGTGAAGGATAACTACGATAAGGAGTGAACAACTTATTTGATGTTGTGCCGCCTTGCTTTCTTTTTCCTACCGTTTGAGTGCCTGTGGAGTAGTAGTTGCAGGCACCACTGGGACATACACGTGGAATCGATCCCCGCTCCCATGGCCCACTAAGCCTTCCATCCCCAGGGTCGGCAAATTGGTACAATACTTGTCTGGGAGGATAGCATCATTCGCTTGAAACATCGGTCGGCAACGGCGAGTCATTGTAGAGGCCAGATATGCATTCAATCACCTCCAGCGATGCTTAATGAAGTCGAATGCATGGCGCAACCCTCAGAGATTGATCATCACCAAAAGCTTTATACTTTATTATATCCTTTTACTGCTTGAGCAATTAATGGTCTAAAGAAAAGCTGTATAGTCGTTAAAAACTATTTCAGTAAAGAGTCCTATGTAGACCGCAGCCGTATCACGCAGGCCAAGGGTCAAGTAAGTCGAACAAAATAAAATTGATCACCAGCGTAGCTACGAGTGTTTTCTCATAGTCAACAAAGCTTAGATCAAAGGGAACACGGTGATTCCTGCTGATCTGTATAATTTTATTAATGTATCCATGGTCTTTAAATCCTCGTGAAAAGTTTACAAAGCAAATCGGTGAGTAAGAAGATCATCTAACTGCCATTTTATTGCGGAACTACGATGCGCGTAGTCCTCTACCATTTGGCTAATCAATACATTACAACTGTCACTCCGTGTGTCTTACAAGTGCAGGTGGGGGTTGCCAACTTGTAGTGGATTGATAAAAGATCTGCTCATTTTTTTGAGCGGCGTCCAAAGTACTGTGTGGTACTCCCTTCGTAAAGGCGGCGCTTATACTGCTTAGTTCATTTGAGGTGCGGGGGTAGCACAGTGGTAGCTATGACGAACATCGCGAGCACAGTGTTGGTCCGATCTCACTCTGACCTCACAAGGCCTCTCATCCTTCCGTGGTGGAGAAACTCATAACGAACTTGTCTGTGGAAAGTTCACTTTTTGCAATTGAGGAGGAAACGCTCTAGCACGGCTGCCTCACGACCGCCGAGAGAATGAACTCGACCAGGATTCAGTGTCATCCATGATGAAAGGAAAATCCTCAGGCAGCAGCCGAAGCCACCCGTAAAAGGGTGAAGTCCTTTGCGGAAATTTAAACGAGGAAACGAATCGAATGCGAGAACTACGGGGACCCGCATAGTGGATGTGAAAGCTGGTTCGTGAGAAAGGAAAATTTTACAAAACTAGTTTATTTCGCGGTAGGTTTCAATTGCAACTATTTTTTTATTTTTCAGTAGGTCATAAATGAGACAAACAAGAATTTTTAGTAAAAACTAGCCACAACTTTTTTTCAGGTTAAAGAGAACTTATTCGGTTCCACTTCACCCACTTTTCACCGCCTCTCGCTCTCTTTTGCTGAATACCTAGTCGCATATCAGGAATGTAATAAATGGATGAAGCATCACCAATGACTGTAATCGCTGCATATGGCTCGCCCTCTTTATTTCGCATTATCACTGAATTTTTTTCCATTTGCTAATTTCTCCCGCTGTTGCTCTTATCCTTGGAGTTCCCTTCCCAAAAAAACAGGCAACCACTGCTGAATTTTTAGTTTGTCAAAATGTACGGTACATGAACAAATCACAGGCCTGTCAACGAAAAACGAAATACAGACGGCATCAATATGGATTAATCTTTGTGTAACAGGACAGATCACAACCTTCGTGCAAAGAATTGCCTTAACAAACAAATAGAAAAGAACCCAGTGGTAAGGCGAAAAGAAGGAAATAAGCCAGCGATTCCAGTTGTTAATGAATGTCTTTTCATTTATGTTAATGATATGAAAGCATGTATCCGACAAACCATCTGAGACGTCCGGTAAAAAAAATCCTTGAATTGGAACCAAGCGAGTTCTCCTTAACCAAGAGGAAATTTGTCACCAGGAAAAATTATGAGTTTCTGAAAAGTGGGAAAGCACCTGCAACTAAGACCTGCTGCAAAATAAGCAGAAATAAGTGCTATAAGCGTCATCTTTAGAAAGGCAGAACAGCAGGCGGCTTCAAGCGCAGCATCGTTCGGTGATCTTCCGCCTGCCAGAAAGCAGCACTTGTCCAGTGGACTTCTAAGACACATGGCGTTGCATTTGTAACGTAACGAATAACCAACTCTTGAAGGACTTTGCTTAATATACTTTTCGATGAAGACGAGGATTGGATGATCTTCTTAATTACCGTCCGATGCAGTATATTGGATCTGCTCTGTAAAGAGTGTATTCCTTCAAATCCACGCATGAAAGCTCTATCCCGGCTATCACGTAATTCTAAGGAGAATCAACTCGAATAACATTCATCGACATTCTCGAAGAAGACAACAACCGTCAAGCAGCAGAGGAACTCATACGTTAAAAGTTCAAAGCCTTCCGTGGATGTTGAATGAGAGAAAAGAACAGAGTGCAAAAAGTGCCGGAAGCAGTATAGTACATTCGGAGACGGGTTATGCAGAAATATGAAAAAATAGTGGAAGCACAGGACCGGTGTCAGTATCGCTAAGCTACTCAGTGGCCTCCGTCAGAGATCTGAGCCCGGTTCGTGAGGTTTCTTGTCGCCTACTGAGTTCTCCCATATCATTATTTCTATTTACTTAATATTCCGGATATGCATAGTGTGTGATCTCTTTAGTCACTGATCAAAAAAGAGAAAATAATCCGTCCATCTTTATCCGGACGTTCTCTATGGACTGAAGTTGCTTGCGAACTATTCGCAATCCGACATTCTCTGTGCTTCGTTGAAATAACGATTCTTACTGCTTTTGAGATAACACTAGATAAGAGATCAGTGTCGTCGGTAGAACGAAGCTTCGAGGAAAATCGTTCAACAACAAGTTCCATTCTGTTGTCTCAATCGAGAGAATTCATATGCAACCGCAGAGGCGCGCTTAACAGTTTTGGTCGTATTTTGTTGCTCTATTGTGTTGTTCGAGCGTGTAGCGCAGTGGTCGGAGGAGCCCTGCAACACAAACGTGGAATCGATCCTCACGCCCGTGGCTCATGAAGCCATCCATCCGTCCAGGGTCGGCAAATTGGTACCAGAGTTGTCTGAGAGGATCGCAGCACTGACTCGATACATCGGTAGGACACCGCGGGTCCTTGTAAAGGCCAGATATGTATTCAGTTACCTCCAAACGATGCTTAATGAAGTCTAATGCATGGTGCACCCCTGAGGGATTGATCAACGCCAAAAGCTTTATCGTTTATCTTCTTTATTGCGTTGTTCCATCAAATCGAACACCGACATGCTAGTCAAGGAGCGGCAGCGCTATTATACATTGATTGTTGAAGTCACTAGTAAGACATATTTACACCTTGGTCAACTGAAGTGGAAGCAATGACGCCATACTCCTCATAAGCCTTAAATAACAAGTTAAACAGTGAATATTCCTTATGCGTAAACAATAATTTGACACAAAACACACGTTAGTCATTTGATAACAGGTAAAAGACAACTGCGTTATATAAACTTCAACTACAGTACCCTATTATATCGTCCCACACAAAAAATATGATTGGAACCTATGTACATAAGAACATAGTTAACAATCCAACTATTTCCTTTCACCTGGAGTTGGTATGTATAAGCATAGACTATAGAAACGATGTCATCATGAGATTCTTCTACTATTCGTGGTTTTCGTCATCGGAGTTATGACTTTGAGCACGAGACTTCCGTAGGGGCTCGTGTCGCTCGGCGTAGTAGTGCTGATATGGTGACGGATTCGTCGCTCTTACACAATAGAAGAGATCGTGAAGACAAGTGGGCAAATACGTTTGCTGAAGTCCGATGTTGACGATATTATCGGCTCTGTAATGAGCTCTACTTTTGCATTCTTTTACTTTTACTTTTTTGCCGTCGTTTCCATTCTCTCAAATAATATTTTGAAACGTTTGCCTCATTGTGTTCTTCCTCAAGCAACTTTGCTCATGAATAGATAATCACACTAAGTGTTGGATTTAAGAAACGACTATTCGTAATAACGCAACGGGGAGAGATAATCTAGTGGTAGTGGTACCGCTCATCGCGTGCAGGGTACTGGCACAACACCGCCTCGGACTCACTAGGCCTCTTACTCCTCGAACTAAAAAAATGGGTTCCAGGCTTGTGTAGCATCAACTCACTCCGTCCAATTAAAGTGGAAGCGTAGTAGCACGGCTCTCCCAAAACTTCAGGGAAGACGACAAACCTTAAGGATCAGCCGACCTCGTATGGAAAAGTTCGAATATCTTCATGCATGATACATACGAGGAATAGAATCGAATGTAAGAAATGCTACGATCCACACGATAAGTCATGTCGGTGAAGATATCGCCACAAAAACGAGATGGTGACAATGAACTGTTGTTGAAGAAAACGAATGCAAAAAAAAAACGTGGAAGCCGATGAACATCTGGCCGTTGAGACCAAATATGTGACTTAATCCATCCAAACTCCGTCGTTGAGAAACAAAAACACGAGGCCTTGGATCCCACTATGGCATTCTTTCAGAGAGACAGAAGCATCAAAAAAGGTTGCAGTTTGCCGCAAAGTACTGCAGAATTGTAGGTTTCCTTGCTTTGCCAGCGAAAGCATAGCAAGGACTGACAAAGACTTGCAAGGAAAACTGAAAACAAGACAATAATGGGTGTAAGAAGATAGATGAGAAGCAGTAATATCAGTTAGCAGCGTAAATCCTTTAAACGTAGTATGACTTCTCTTAATTGTATATTTCACCAAAAATGGCTCTGCACTAACTTTTTCTTATACATTACCTGTTATAGAGATAATGTCCTCCTTTAGCAAAGCGGTAATCATTCTCTAACTGAGCAATACTCTCAGGACGGCCATCGAAATAGCCAAGATATGTCGGAGGATAGTAATTCGGATAGTACCTATAAATCAGAGTAGAGGTTGACTGAATAATACGAAGACAGCCAAAACATGACCAATTTGTTAACAATGGTTGTAGTTCCAGCATAGAACGACATATTTGCTGTGAGCCAACACATGGATTCCTTGTTTTCCTCTCTAAGTTCATTCATAAAGGATAAAGGATAAAGGTTTCTGATGTATAAATTAGAGCAGGAAGTACCGTTGAGTCGAAAAGGTGAGCACGGAGTCGGGTGTTCTTTGTCTCTTCACTACATCCTCGATGCTCTTGAAAGCTCCCCAAGCCGGTCGTTTCCTTCTACTCGGCTCTGGAGCTAGGTCGTTCATCATATTGATTTCCTGACCTAGATAGACATGTGGAGCATTCGGAGATATTCGTTCCGTTGAGCGTGAAAGGCATGCGAAACCAATCCGTTCTTCAAAGAACATCATTTTTGTAAGATTTAGTCGAAGACCAATCCTTCCATAGGCTTTACCAAAGTCGTCAAGCATACGTTCCGCCTGGCTAATGTTTGGTGTTATAAGGACGATGTCATCAGCAAAGCGAAGTTGGTGTAATTGCTGTCTATTGATTTTCACTTCCATGTTGTCTCATTCCAATGTTTTTGGTGAGATAATATCTCCTTGTCTAACTCCTCTTTTGACGTCGATGTTAATATCGTTGTAGAATGGTGTTTTCTTGGTTGTGAAATTTTCGTACAACTCACGAAGGATCTTTATGTACTGAGTAGGGACTCCTTGACTATCAAGGGCTTCCAAGACTGCTTCTATCTCAACTGAATCAAAGGCCTTCTGTAAATCGATGAAAATGAGACAGAGCGGTCTTTTGTACTCTCGCGGTACTTCAATGAGCCTTGTTACCGTGTGGGTGTGGTCATCGTGCCAAATCCTTTTCGAAACGCTGCTTGCTCACGTGGCTGCACTTCGTCTAGTGTTCTGTCAATCCTGTTTAGGATAACTCAAGCAAAAAGTTTGTGAACGACAGACAGTAAGTATCCTGTCTGTACCTGGTGCTGTTCGATTTTTCACTGACGAGATGGCATGTCGGATTTCGGAATGGAGAACCGGCGGTACAACATATCCACCCTCCTTTATTTCATATGACGAAAGATGGACGTGGCTATCGAAGAGATCAGAATAGTATTCGTGAATGATTTGTTCCATTGCCTTTTTGGACGCTGTAACTGTTCCGTCTGGGCGCCGGAGTGCAATCATTTTGGTCTTGTAATTGGCGAAGCTTTGGTGGGCTTTGCGAGTGCTTTTCCCAGCCTCTGCAGCTTCGACCATTGCAGCTGCTCTTCTCTCTTTAACATCTTTTTTTATCGCCTGTCTGCATTGTTTTGTAAGTTCGTACGTTAGTTCGCGGTTGCCTGGAGTTCGTGCGATTCCACGCTGGCGTATCAGCTCGAGTGCTTCTGGAGATAGACGTCTCTTGGTGACTTTCGAACCCTCAGCTTTCATAGCGCTAACGTGAAGATGTTGAATGAGCCGATCGTATTCCTCGTCGATGTTATCGACAACGGCATCTTTCCAACAGCCGACTAATGAATTGAACAAATCCCAGTTTACGGTGGTTCTGGGACTTCGGTTTTGGAATTTAGCGGGTTTTTCTCCCTTCCACAACAAATACAATCTTGCACGAAGGAGACGATGGTCTGATCCCGTGTAGAATTTTGGGACAACAGCGACATCGGTTAGGCAAAGCCTTCTATTTACTAGAAGAAGAAGAAGAGAGGAAGTGTGGGTATGAAAAGGAAATCTTTCCAAGCAAAAATTGTAATAAATCCAAGCAATGTGGAGACTTATTAAATAATAGTATGTTCTTAAAGCTCAGTGAGCGCTTCAAATTTCAGTTAACAATACCCAAAATACGGACCAATTTCCGAACTGTCCAAAGTCTGTCACCGTAGCCCTGTTGTAGTGAATGTACCTGGGTAGCACTTGCGGGTAGTTACCGTATACCCTCTGGAAATAGTGTGTTGTAATAGAAATTTTGAAGCAAAGCTATGAAAATGTTCAGGGCTTGATAAAAGATCAATGCACTCAATACTGTTTTTGGCACCTGGAAATCTCAATGCGAGTAAATAGCTGGAAATTCGGTATTGTGTGTTAGTACTTAGTGTTACTGTGATGTAACAAACGCGATAAAAATAGTTGATCAAGTGTAAGCTTTTTAAAGTCGACTTTGAAGCTACGGAAAACTCGAATTCAGAACTTATAGGTAAGTAGTGATTTTGGAGATATTTCTGGAATAATGACAGAATAGAACTGACTTGATAATAACCTTCCAGCGTTTCGTGAGCCGCTGGTGCTAGCTCTTGCCCTGCTCCAACTGGTCCACCGCCACCGTAATTGCAATCGGCAATAAACTAGAACAGAAATCTATGGTTAAAAGATAACGACTAATTTTAATGATGCTGAGATATTTGCAAAGCTTTGGGCCGCAGGTGTCTGTTGTGGGGAACGAACGCACTATTTCCCTTATTGAGGAGTAACACGTTCACCACCACCATACCATGCGGATCCTTTGTTTTGCCTTTCTCTCAGCTAGTTCTGTCGATTTCGGCCATCAGCAATCACCCGTTAGCGAGATTGATCTGGGGAGCCCAAATCGGCAACGAACCCAGTTAATAAGCTAAGGTTGCAGTTTTCGAAAGTATTTTTTTGCGAAACGAAGGACCTGCATGGTGTGGTGGTTAACGCGTTACTCCCCGGAAAGGACAATAGCGCGTTTGTTCCCCACCGCAGACACCTGCGGTCAGAAGTTTTGCAAACATCTCAGCATCATTAAAGTTATATTTCGCAATATATATCCTGCTGTTAAAAGGAGTAGGCAGTAAATAAGAAGTTAAAATAACGACTAATGTTTTCGTAGGTTTATAAATATCCACGCCCTCACACCCCATCTCAACCTCAAATTAGGGCATTCCCAGCCGGCTGGTCGCAACGACACGTGGCGCAACCACTATTGGCGGGTAGCGGTTAGGCGCATATAGAAAGCGATCTTGTATTTCTATAAGATGTAGATATATCCAAAAGGTACACATCGTGTTTCTGTGGTGCCAAATTAGAACACGGCTTCTACGTTTATGTAATTCTTTCATGTTCATGTGTGCGCGCGTTAGCTCGTTCTCTCTTATGCAGAATGTATTCAAAGAGTCGATTCTACTAAAAGACTGCACTAAATGATTAGGAAGTAAGTGGGAGGTGATCACTGTAACTCGCAGTTCCAGAAACCACACCCTCTCAGCGCTGGACGTGGAAGTCTCTGAATGGAGAGTACCATAACGAAATAGGTCACAACATAGTAAATAAAAGGTTTTGCCTAACCGATGTCGCTGTTGTCCCAAAATTCTACGCAGGATCAAACTAACGCCTTTTTCGTGTAGGATCCCATTTCTAGCCGAAAGGAGAAAAAGCCACTAAATTCAAAAAAAAGGAAGCCCCAAAACCACCATTAACTGCAATTTTTTCAACTCATTAGTCGGCCGTTGAGAAAATACCATTATCGATAACATCGACAAGGAATATGATCGGCTCATTTAGCATCTTCACGTTAGCGCTGTGAAAACTGAGAATTCGAAAATCACCAAGAGACATTTGTTTCCAGAAACACTCGAGCGGCTACGCCAGCGCGGAATCGCGCGGGTTACATGCAGCCGCCAGCTCACGTCCGAACTTACAGAACAATGCAGACAGGCGATAAAAGAAGATCATAATGAGAAAAGAGCTGCAGTTACGGTTGAAACTGCAGAAGCTGGAAAGAGCATTCGTAAAGCAAACCGAAACTTCGCAAATTACAAGACCAAGATGGTTGTACTCCGACGCCCAGATGGAACAGTAACAGCATCCAAAAAGGCAATGGAAAAAATCATTCACGAATACTATTCGGATCCCTTCGATAGCCACCTCCACCTTCCGTCATATGAAATAAAGGAGGAAGGATATCTTGTACCACCGGTTCTCCCTTCCGAAATCCGACATGCCATTTCGTCGGTGAAATATCGAACAGCGCCAAGCCTGGACAGGGTAAGAACTGAACACCTGGAAAACCTTCCGCCAGTTTCCATAAAAGTATTGGCTCGGTTTCCCTCAACGTCTGTTCAAATATGAGGTTTCTCAATTAATGCAAAGCCAACAAGACCGTTTTGTTGCGCACGAAGGTCGCAACTACCACCCAATTTAGATCTAGTTGCGATTCATCGTATATAAATTCTTCACTTGAGATATCATTAACGGGAGCGACGGAGCACTGAACGAAGGACAGCTATGGGAGCAAGCAGTGTTTGAAAAAGAATAAGCACAATAGATCAATTCACACGATAACATTTAGGTATCGCAAAAAACAGAACACCTCCCTCTTTCATTTTCATCGGCTTAAAGCCTTTGGCTCAGTTCAGACAGAAACAGTTACTAAAGCTTTAGACATTTAGAGCGTCGCAATTAAATATGTTAGGATTACTCATGAGCCATACAAAAAATTTGTAGCCAAAATACCACCATTCTATAACGATGTAGACATCGACGCAGAAAGATGTGCTAGACATGGCGGCATCATGCAGAATTATTTACAACCATCCTTTAGAATGCCATATGAAAACTAGAACGGGGATAACATGAGAGTGAAAATCGATGATCGGCAATCGTCTTGGTTTGTTGATAACATCGGTCTTATAATGCCAACATTGTCAAAGCCAGGTAGAACGAAAGCTGATCGATTTTGATAACGCTTGTGGAAAGGTAGGTCTTCGGTCAAATCTTCCGAAAACGATGTAAAGAAAAACGGATAGGTTCTTATCTGGATCGAAAAACCATCTTGGTGACCATTTCACCCTTCCAACTATTCGGTTTTTCTTAGCTTAATCTACGCATGAAAAACCTGGTTATTACGCAAGAAAGAAAGAAGACCACTCAGCTTCACCGAGCGTTCAGTTTAGGCGAGACTGGAAATATGTCATCGTATCAAGCCAATGACTCAGAGGATTCGAATTTCTGAACATTGTAGAAGTTGCCAAGCACACGAAAATCTCAGAAATCGGCCGGTCTGGACACGTTATCCGCCTAAACGAGAGCCAACAGAGAAGAATCGCTAGCTGCTGGATCTCACCAGATTTCGAATGAACAACAGGAAGACAACCGTAGCTGACGTTTCGGCAGTATCGCCTTCTTCAGAGCCTGCCGAAACGTCAGCTACGGTTGTGTTGTATGTGTGTTATTGTATGGAAGCAAACGTATGCTGTTTAGCAATTTCGCGAATGCTGAGAAAGAAAGCGACGAATTTACTATCCAATGCCGAGGTTCATAGAAAGTCAACCCTGGGAACAAGAAGACAATCAATCCAAGAGTATGAGCGTAGCTCAGTGGTAACCCTTCACCAGCACTCTCCTCCAGTCGACGTGGGAGCGCCTTAGCCCGGCTATCTCAAAGATTGCCAGGAGAATCGTCTCCACTAGTATTTTACGACCTTCATGAAGAAAACGAAATCCTCAAACAGCGGCTCAAGCAAAATGCGAAATTTTCGAAGACCGTTGTGGACGATGAATGCGAAGAAATGAATCCAGTGTAAGAAGAAATGAGATGCAGTGGGTATGATAATGGGTTATGCAAAAGAAGTAAAATAAATAATTCGGTAACGATAATCGAAATACCACCGAGTAATCTAAGGCGCCAGCTAGTTCGTGACCGCCTATACGACCGTCTATATGCAACGCAAAATTGCATAATTTGCCCCAGTGGTAGAGACGGTGACTGCATGAGTTCGGGTACAGTCTATCTGATCTCTTGTAAAGCGTGCGGGGACGAATACGTTGGCGAAACGGGTAGGCCACTTTGCGTACGTATAAAAGAACACCTAGTCGGCAAACATAAACCAAATACTCCACTAGGCACGCATAGGACGCAGAGACATAACGGAGAAGATTTTGAAGTAAGGGTTACGATCCACTCGCAAGAATCGAGAACACAAGCGCGCAAAAAATTAGAGGCATTCTGGATTAATTCCAAGAATCCGGAAATGAACCGCAGGGAGGAATGCCCCGTTATCACGGGTGATATTGGACAGTATATAAACCTGTTATTCTGATAGGAGGGGCACGTTACGCTTCCATGTGAATTCTGTGCGGTTGGTCTTCACGCGACATACTCAGTGGAAGACTCATAGAAAGCGGTGAGTGTGCAGAGCTATGCTAAATGTAATTGAAATCTTGGTTTAGCGTTTGTTCTGTTTGGTTATGGAGGTGTTTGGCCTAGTGGATTGCTGTAAACCTGACCCTTCGAGGCTCTGAGAAAGGCGAAATCCGCCGGAACGTCAGCTTGTGCGTAAATAAAGAAATAAAATAGCGCCTCGTGTTTGCTGAACAGAAGTGGAAAAAATAAATAATATTCCGATCTTAAATGGCGGTAAAGACACCTTTTAAATTCAAATGGTAACTAAAACAATCGTCTGCTGACCCTGAGACCTGGTTCATGGGGATGGGTGTGCCTCATCGCTGCAGCAATGAATTAATCCACAGCTTCCATCGCGTACAGCATCTGCGTCGGTACGCTGATTCGATCAAGAATATTCATGCATAGGATCGCAAATATGGAAGGTTTTTAAAGAGCGCCTCCAAAAACTAAGGTTCGTATCTTGTTTGAAGAACCCTAACAAACAGGCTATGAGTTTATCCACCGCACAGCAGTTTCAGGCGAGTTGTACTGGGTATACTCTGGTCAAAAACATTGAAAGCGAGGCATGTCATGCGGAAATTGTTTGTTTCCCGCGAAACAGTTTAGGTCAGTTCATAATTGTGCTACGCCACAGAAATGGAAGCTTCAGCTGTTACCACTTGAATCATTTTACGATTACAGACATAGAAAGTGTACAGTCGGAAGTTCTACAAGTGTCCAACTTCTCTGGCTTGAATCGTCATTTATAAATATAGCCGGAGTTAACATATTGTGCGGTTCCTGGTACTTTCTCCATTCCATCCTTTGCTTTGCACTTGGGCGGTCATCCATGAAGGTGTCCCGATATGCACTTGGGTACGCTTACTACTTTAACGTTTTGTTTTCTGCATGAATATCGTTGAATCCTTGTCGAATTATCCTTGGAGTTATGGGATAGTTGAACATCTGAAGGTCTTTCCCGATAATAGCCGTCGCCATTTGTAGATGGAAAGAAGTTTCCCTAAACTTGTTTGATACACATTTGCCGATCGCGAGAGGATACGGAGAGGAGAGAGTGAGCCTCGTTGGCCGCAAACAAACATTAACAAGTTTAAAACGGATTCTATTTGTGATCGATCGCTGTAGAATTTGAATCTGAATCTGAATCATCTTAAGCAACTCTTCTCACTCGCTGTATGTCGCTGCATGTCATTTCACGAGGCCGAGGCTGAATTTTGTCGCAGTTGTCCTTCGACCAATCCAGCAACGTCTCCGGTATCGGATTCCATCGCGCGACGGATTTCGCGAATTTCGCACACATCTGTGGAGTTGGCAAAGCGGCTGTCGTCGCCACCAAGAGCACAAGCACCAACACAGCAACCATTCGCGTATACAACTGAAATCTTAAAAAAAACATCAATGGGGATCAATGAAAAAAGCCGCATCCCGAATCTGAGTCTTTGAATAGTGATCTTTAAAAAAGAGCTGTTTCTAGGAACAAAGGTTCAGGGTTGAAGAGCCCGTCATGGTCACATAAGAGCCTTAAAATTGTGATGATCGTTCTTTTGCTAGTAAAAATAATAATACGTCAAAATCTAAAAGAACGAAGACAAAATATTAATGATTACTATAGAGACATTTCTCCTCCCATGAATGTGTCAGAATTTCGGCAATGCTTAACACACTTGCATAGATACTTGGATGGCCCGCCTTCACTAGTTCTACGGAACTCAGCATAACTTCCACTTTTTCGAAGTTTTGCTCGTTAGGCACTGTGATTTCCTGGAGTCCTGAGGTTAGCCAGGTTAAAGTCTGCCGAAGTCGTCCCCATCACAAGCAGTGGCCACCCTTATGGCTCAGAGAGAGATTTACCACTACGCGACTAATTTGATATGAGGACGGTGGTGGATTATTGGTTTACTCTTTGCTGGACTTCCTAATGGAAACGACAGCCTCCTCAGCTCCTGCTGTGGAATGAATCCCTCCGCTGTACATTGCAGTCCGATACCCAGGAACACCTCTCAGCCACGATGAGACGCTAAACCGTTGGGAGGAATGCTTAATATAACCTCAGCAATGCTGATTTTTCTTACAACCGCCGATTATACCATGGTAATTAGTGTTTAGGAGGACCTAAATACCTCTATATGAATAAAATACGCTTCTCCCCTACTAACCTATGTTCTTCAAAATCGCGATTTTTGAGTTTTAAAATCCAATTTCTCAAGAAGGATGAAAAAAGTTCTAAACTCTTAAAAACTTCTGACGTTTTTTACAGCTGCTGGTACAAACATTGATAATGAATTCAAAGACACCATCATACTTCTAAACGAAGTTTCCTCTGCGCAATAGCTCCGTTTACAAGATACGAGTCTACGTGAAGAAAAAAATTAAGAATCGATGAAGAGAAGTTATTTTCAGCACTAGAAAAACAGAATTTTACTATTGTAGAATGGGAAAAGCTCCACCTTCTTGATAGTTTGTGAACTCTTCTCATTTCCGTTCTGATCAATGAAGTCCTCTGTGTGTTGAGATATGTCTCTTCAAAGTTAACAGGCCAAGATATTTTCAACGACGTATGAGTTACATATGGCTCATATCGTCAAGGATGCATAACATTATTAATTTTTTAAAACTGACATTTTTATTCCATTGGCTACTGTATTTCACGGTTTCAACGATGATCATTACAAACAGTAAAGAAAAAATAAGGATTTAATGGAGAAAGGAATGGAAGACTATGAAAAGTAAATTTACCAGCAGATCAATGCAAGTGGGCAACCAATCTATGAAAAATCTAAAGTACTTAGAACAGCACTTTTTTTTAGATGCATTGGATTCATTTCAATTTCATAAGCTGCGTATGGCTCTTAATAGCTAAGCTGGCTGTGATTCGAAATAGGTGTAACATTTTCTCTTTCGTTCAGAACATCACACCATATTCGGTTAGTGAACTGATGAACGGAATCAGACAATTTGAAGTACGTAAAATTCAAATCAATAGGAAGCTGTAGAAATCCTAGAACGGCACAACACTGAGAATATCAGATGCAACTTCTAAAATATTCATGATTGTCACTATTATCACATCATTATCACCTTGTACTTATAATTTTGAATAGATCAATAAAGACAATTTCTAAGCAAATCTGTATACTTGTGACTAGGTTTGAAACAACTAACCATTGTACTCATAGGTTTGAACCGCGTGATCGGAAAGTAATCCTCTACCTAACTTTCTACACCAAAAAAACTTGCACTCGAGCTTTTTGTTCTGCCGATTTTTTATGATTGTCTTACCTGAGTGAAGTAAAATCCTTGGATATTGATGTATTTAATTGATAAAATACCAATATATGTAACGGTTTAATCACCGAAAGTATCCTAGGGCTTCACAGAACTACAAAAATGTTCTGTAGTCTTAAGAAACTAATTTTAGAGTAAAAATGGTTTGAGAAAGTGGAAAATTCGAGAATTCATAAAACGATGTTCTTAAAAATGAAAGCTAGAAGGACTGCGTGGCGATGCCGTCGACGACCTCGACGCGACCACCGTAGGGTGAACAACAACCCGTTCCTGATAATGATTAATGACGAGACTGTTTTCGTAAACAACAAAAATAACTTCAGACGACGATTTTTTTTCTTGGCAGAAACGTTGCCAATAATAAAAATTTTTAAGTAGTAACGCATAAAATGGCTTTGTTAGAGAAATGTGCGCAGTTTCACAGAAGTGGAAATAGAACGCTTGCAATTGTGTAGTATTTCCCCTAACCCTTACACGAATATTGTAGATCTCTCTCGATATGAGTAAATTGACAATGTTAACTTTTAAGTAGCTGCCTATTACAATTTTTCAGGAGAGGGTATCATGTATGCTTCAACCGCAATGATGATGAGATAGAACCACAATGTTGATGAGATACTTGCAAAACTCCTCCGAAGGCTAACGCGTTCACCACCACACCATGCGGGTCTTTCGTTTCGCCTATCTCTCAGCCAGTTCTATCGATCAGTGCCATTAGCAATCACCCGTCAACGGCACTGATCTGGAGAGCCCACCTCAGCATCATTGTGGTTGTACTTCGCACAATACCCCGCTGTAAAAATTGTATGTAGGCAGAAAATAAAAAGTAAAAGTATTGTGGTCCTGAGATATTTGCAAAAGTCCGGACCGCAGGTGTCTGTGAGGAGGATCAAACACGGTATTACGCTCTATGGAGCTAACGCGTTCACCACCACACCATGTGGATTGGGTCATTGTAACAGGCAGCAAATAAAAAGTTAACATTGTGATTTAGACTAGAGCCTCAACCTAACTGGCCTCATTGCCGATTTGGGCTCCAAAATCAATCCCGCCGACGGGTGATCGCTGATGCCACTGAACGATAGAACTAGCTGACAGACAGGCGAAACCGCGTGGTGTGGTGGTGGAAGCGTTACTCCCCGGAAAGGACAATAGAGCGTTCGTTCCCCATCACAGACACCTGCGGTCCGGAGTTTTGCAAATATCTCGGCATCATTGTAGTTAAATTGATGACATTTCAAAAACCGACTTTCCTTTAGCCTCGGTATGACTACTCGATATGTGTTTAAATTATTAAGCTTATCCGAGAACGTAATGACAAAATAAGCAGTCAAAAATATTCCAAATAATTAACCTCACGTAAGCTCAATAATTTAAACACATCCTAAATTGAAAATTAGACCCTCATCGAAACAATTACAACTTAATGGCTTCCCATGTTAAACTTCAAATGTGGGATGTACGTGAAATAGAGAATGATTTTGATCGCTTAAGGTGATGGGAGACCATAGAAGCTGAAAGAAACTATTGATCACTACCTGACAGACACAAAACTCGGAACCCGCACTAAATATGGGAAGAAATCGGAGGCAAATCGCCAGAAGTGAACATTATTGTCACGGCTGGTTCACACCGTCTACATACGTGAGCTGAAAGCTTAACACGTTACGATAACCCATGTGCAACAACGAAGATAACTTTAAAAACTTCAAAAAAAAACTTTAAAAACCGTGAAAAAAAACTTCAAACGAAACTGGCGCGGTAAACGTTATTTCAATGGCTACAAAACTGCAGCTCCTCGAGATAAGTGTAAAAGAAGGCCCAAGCCCCCAAACGATTACTCTGGCGACGATAATGTTTCGTTTATCCTACCCCTCAACTCAGACGAAGTAAGTGGAGCTATAACACGTTCCTTAAGAGGGGCCGATCTGGAGAATTCGGTAAGAATAATTTAAGTACCACCGAGCACTCTACGAAGCCAGCTGGTTCGCAACCGCATGTATGTCTATGTATGTGCAACCGTCTATGTACAATGTGTTATAGTAATCTAAGGCGCCAGCTAGTTCGTAACAGCCTATACGACCGTCTATGTGCAACCCAAAATTGCATAATTTGACCCAATGGTAGAGACGGTGACTGCATGAGTTCGGGTACAGTCTATCTGATCTCTTGTAAAGCTTGCGGGGACGAATACGTTGGCGAAACGGGTAGGCCACTCTGCGTACGTATAAAAGTACACCTAGTCGGCAAACGTAAGCTAAGTACTCCACTAGGTACGCATAGCACGCAGAAACATAACGGAGAAGATTTTGAAGTAAGGGTTACGGCCCTCGCTCAGGAGTCGAGAACACAAGCCCGAAAATTCTCGACGCATTCTGGATTCATTCCAAGGATCCGAAAATGAACCGCAGGGAGGAATGCCTTATAATCAAGCGTGATATTAGGCGCTATTTGACACTGCTGTTTTGATGTGAGGGGCACATTATGCTTCCATGTGAACTCTGCGCAGTTAGTGTCCACGTGACATATTCAGTGGAAGGCCCATAGAAAGCCGTGATTGTGCGAAGAAGCTAGTCTGCGTTCGATGTGATTGAAATCTCGTTTTGGCATTTTCTCTACTTAGTTATGGAAGTGTTTGACTTGGTAGATTGTGGTCAACCTGACCTTTCCAGGCCTTGAAGGAGGCGAAATCCGCAGAAACGTTAGCTTGTTCTTGAATAAACAATAAAATAACACCTCGCGTTTGCTCAACGAAAATGTAAAGGAATTATTTCGTCAATGCCGAGATTAATAGGAAGTCGGTAATGGGAATTATTAATTGAGTATCTGTGACATTATAGTAAAAATGAACCAGGACGACTATCTTTCGAAATAAATGCTTTCGAAACGCGACGTCGTTTAAATTCCTGCTTGCCTTGTTAACACATTGTCACTTATCGATCTAAAATGATGTTTACTGTAGCTGTAATGAGAAACACTTTCGATCAGGGGTTAAAAAACAAAGAGAAACAACGCAGTTCTCTAGATTGTTCCTTTGGCCTATAGTTCGTCCATACAGATGTTGGAGTTCGGATGTGGCTTCGACGTCGGTTTTTCTGCCAGTCTCACTTACCACTGACATTAGTTCAATGGTAGTCGAAGTGATTTTCTCCGAAGAGCCAGTCGATAGAGAAACTCTTCATCGAATGGTTCCTACTTTCTATATTCTCACATGTTTCCCACATTAACTGCTTGTTAATAATAATCTTACATCTAACCTTGCACATTCTGCAAATTGTTTCTTAGCAATCATCTCATGCACCTGTCTCGCAGTTGCTTAGAAAGGAATTGTGTAGCTTTCTCTTAGCAGCTGTTCTTTTCCTTAGTTCGAGCACTGAAGAAGCAGCTGCCAGCTGCAGACATTTTTCGGCATTTGTCGTTCCAATCTGCTTTTTCCATAGGCTACTGCATTACTGTGGCATGTATTTTCTATAAAAGCTTTATATACCCTTCAGTACGATTGTGTGCAACGTGCCCTATCACATTTTACTAACTGACAAGCAATCTAAGATCTCCTCCACTGCATTGTCTCTAACTCCTTTTGTCAAATTGTGCCCATTACAGAAAAGAATATAAAGAGCATTATTAGTTATTAGCCAGTTTCGATCAAGTGTTTTGCTCGTGCTTTGCTCACTTACGCACGGCTCGTTCGCTCACACAGCGTCAGACTGTTAATGTTGTATTTTTACTATTTCTATAAACGGTCATAACGCAAGGATGAGATTATGCTCTCTGGCAATAACAAAAAGTCGTGCGTAGCAAACTAGTACAAAGTCGGGCGCATTCCTCTTCGAGCTAGTAATTATTCTGCGCCAAATACAGACTTGAAAATCTATGTTCCGCTGTGCCAACTAATACAGTATAGCTGTGCAAAGGCGTTCTAAATTCATCGCCATAGGATTTTGTCAGCCTTTGTGGAGGTTTGCTTCCTTGTGACCCGGGCGGGCTCTTCCAAACAGAATCACTGCTATTTCTGCGGCAACGTCGAATCCTGCTTTGAGCTAACCAACCACACAAAGACCATGTAACATGTCAAATCCCCATTGAGAGACGGATTTCACAGTGGGATATGATGCCGAATATCACGAAAACGGTTTTGGTTCGACCCCACCTCAGGTTCACCAAGCCTCTCATCCCCCCGGGGCAGTGAGATTGGTACCGAACTTGTCCTGGAAACAATCACTCTCTGCAATCGAATTGGGAACGCTCCAGCCCTTCTCGTGATCTGAGGAAGAATCGACTCGATTAGCATTCTACGGCATTCATCATGAAGTGGAAATCCTCAAGCAGCAGCCGAAGGCACACGTAAAAGTTGGAAGACCCTTGTGGATGATGGATGCCTGGAAACGAATCGAATATGATAAGTGTTAGGATTCGTGTAGTATACGTTAAGACGGGTTGTATAAAATAATCCCGATTACGTTAAGCAAGATTACTACAAACTTGTGCACTGTTGTTCATTTATCCTGTGGAAAATTACATCAGTCTCGTAGCTTCTTTTACAGCTACAACATCGACACAGAAATTCAAATTTTTCATGCTTCATCTGAGAGTTATGGGCGATCACAGGCCAAATAAATTATGACACCAAGTTACCATCTTTTCCAAACTCAAAAAGAACTTCCAACCTTTACCATATGTTCAAACTGCTTCTATCAGTTACCTCGATAACTAGACCCTATGAAGAAGTAAAGGGCGCGTGTGGCGCAGTGGTCGGAGGCGCCCTTCAACACACGTGGAATCGATCCCCGCGGCCATGGCCCACCAAGCCTTCCGTCTCTCTGGGGTCGGCAGATTGGTCCCAGACTTGTCTTGGAGGATAGCAACATTGCCTCGTTACATCGGTGGGCCACCGTGAGTCATTGTAAAGGCCAGATGTGCATTTAATCATCTTCAAACGATGCAAGTCGAATGCATGGGGTATTCCTCAGGGAATGGTCAATGCCGAAAACTTTATCATATTATGCTTTATGAAGCAGTAACTAGTCGTTCCTCTGTTTCCCACTTGTGAATAAAAAATGTGGTAGAAAGGGACACACTGTGATACCGTACTTCTCTATGTAATTCACGGAAGAGATGCAGACAATACAGTTTCAAGGCCAATGCGTAATGCTTCGTTGCCATTCCAAGTGGTAGTCATAACTGTTATTGTAGTTTTAGTTTTACTAAACTCTGAGGAATGTTTCGAAGCGAATGGCTTGCTGTGATTCTGTAGAGATCCTAACTCTGAAAAAGGAAGAACGTTAAAAACGTTTAAAAAAAACGTTAAGAACTAATTGATTTTTGTAATCTTCGAGCTTTTTTATGCCCTTTTATAGTTTCGATCGTCACCATTTGTTATTTTCGAATTAGGACCTACTACAGGAAATATTGGCAAGATACTATTCGTTTTATTTACTCCGGATTACAATAGTAGAGACCGTATTTCGCCTTATTACAGCTAGAGACACAAGGCAAAGAATAAAAGATAGAGATTGTCGTGCCGATCAAATGTAAGGGAAATCAGCCAATTCCTTTATGATCTATAGGTTAAAATCAGTTTGTTAGTGAATATATGGCTTAGGAACTATGAAAGATGGACAAATCAGAGTTTTACAGTTCTCCAACTCGAATTTCTTACGAGTTGATCCTGTCCGAAGCGATGGAGATCCAACGTTAAACTGGGAAACGAAATCCACATACCCCTACATATCAAAGGCACTTGAACAACACCGTTCAAACTACTGCAGCCGCTTTCGTAAATTTACAGTTATTCAATACATATGAAATCGAAAAAAGAATCAAAAATGCATCTCATTAAGAATTGCGCACACCTTGACGACATCAACCAGCACAGGTGATCCACACATGACCGAAAGTAATTGGATTGCAGTACCTAAAGAATAAAGGGATAAAGCCGTCGGCATTAATCAACCTCTAAGGGATGCGCCATACATCCAACTTCACCAAGCATCGTTAGACGTGATTGAATGCATATCTGGCCTATACATTGACTCGCGATAGCCTACCGATGTATCGATGTATCGATGATGCTATCCTCTCAGAGATGTTTGGTATCAATTTGCCAACCCTGTAGCGATGGAAGGCTTGGTGGACCTGGGCGCGCAATCGATCCCATATGTATTGCAAGGCGTCTTTGACCACTGCGCTACGCGCGCCCACTATAGAATTACTTGCCTATTTATATTCCCACCAGACCGAACTTTTCCCACAAAATCCACAAATATGGTGCTTTTCACTAGCAAAAACAGTCATGGAATCGAACTTAGTGTCGCTAAAGGGTAAAGGCCACAGGTCTATCGGTAAGACACTCCTTTGAAATAACGTGCTCTAATGCTGACCACATAGCAAGCTGCGACAGCGGTCGGTTTGTTTTCCTTGGACGTGGAGACATGTGATGTTCCCTTCAGCCATACGTGCATCATATTATGTAAAATGTTGGTCTATGTGACTTTATACTAGTATTACTCTGTACGAACTAGTAGATGTTAACTTGTCACTGAAAAGTATGTTTTATTGATTTTTTAGTCCCGCCCCGTTCCTTATAACCTCCCAGCTGATTTTGACATAAATGCATGATCGCTACTTTTATATGGAATACTGGAACGTTGTGAAAATTGTTTAGGAGTAACTTGTAAGTAAATACTTGAGGTAGCCAGATTTGCCACGTTCTGCACAGGTGTGGCGGTAACGTCACCATGGTGGTAGCGAATGAGTTCGAGGACGGTTTCGATCTGGATAAAATTGATGCTGAGATCAAGATTGAGAAGATACGACAGACAGCTTCAAAGTTGTCCTGGGATGGCTTTCAACAGGCTCTTCGACGGAACTTAATGGTTGGTCCTCTATATGCCTAATTATATGGTCCTCTTAATCTGCTTTTCCAAATTTCGGTGCAAAAGTTTTCCCACAGGACGATTTATAAGGTCCATAATGTTTGGTGGTGAATTGTAGTAAAACTGTTCAAGGAACTATACAATCGTATGTTTAAATTCTAGCGAAACTTATAGAAGTTAGATTCCTAATCTCCTACGACCAATTTTACAAAGCTTTCGGATTTTTAGGAAAAGCGATTCGTTTTTGACACTGAAGGACGAATCGATTTGCTTCATGCTATTTCTACAATCAGACGGAACTTGCCGGGTGGGTTTTCCTGATGGTGATTGCAAATTCCGAATTTTACTGATGTCGATTATTCTATCAACTCATCGTAGTTATCTAAGGTGGCTAGTTCACCTCCGTTTACGGTCATGCGAATTCGGAACGAAGTAAATGTTTCTATTCGGGAAGGGTGGACTATGGTTACGAATGAAGGTAGTCGAAGAAGAAGCGTAGCCAAAACATGACAAACAATCCTCCACTTTTCAAAAGCTGGGGGTTTCATTGGGCATCTGGATTTCGCTGAACTCAGTTGAAAAGCTCTGCCGAACTAAATGTTTGACACATGGACAGTATTAGCCATATATGACTGGTAAAGGGCACGTGTAGCGTAGTGGTCGCAGACGCTCTGCAATACATATGGGATCGATTCCCGCGCCCAAGGCCCACCATGCCCTCCATCCTTCTGGGGTAGCCAGATTTGTGCCATGCTTGTCCTAGAGAATAGCAGCACTGGCTCGATGCATCGGTAGGCCACTGCGAGTTATTGTAAAGGCCAGATATTACATCCAATCACCTCCAGCGATGCTTAATGAAGTCGCATGCGTAGCGTATCCCTCAGGCATTGATCAACGCCGAGAGCTTTATCCTTTATCTTACTGGTATGTGGCCGAGAGTATTTTAATCTTTCAGTTTTAAATAGTCTCTTCTCATCTTCTCATGTACTTCAGCAATTAAAGAATTTCAAAACTTGAAAATGTTCTTCATCATGGTACTAGTTTGGATGTCCCTTCATGGTAAAGCTCACGACCTTTGCAGCGTACGCTTCGTTCTTTTTTTCGCTTTAGCCACTAGAGTAAACCACTGTTACAGCGTCTGTAGGCTTTGCTACTAAAGTTCACATAGTGGTCCGTATCGTTTTCGAAACTACACGTTTTCTCCTACATAGTTTTCTCACTTCGTATAAACAACCTGGAATTTTCAGTCGACAAAAACGCTGAGCTTCCGGTTCAACTGAGACAACTCTCCGATAGTTTGGAGTATGTTTTTCTTCTTCAGCCTTTCCTGGTTTCTTTCTCCTCTTATTTTTTTTTTGTGCTATACTCGTCTCTTAGGTGCGTTCTCAGTTCACAGCAGGGTGTTTCCACTATGAAAAATGCCGATGTTGTCCTGGAGTTTGCTTACGACAATGATCAGGCAAGTTTTTCCTTTTCCACCTCGAAGCTTCACTGACTCTTCCGCTTTTTCAGATAACTTCATGTAAAATTGGATATTTTGGTAAGCCTACTGCAGCTAGCGATGACGCATTTGAATATGTGAAGAAAGGGGATTTTGGTAGTTTGCGGGCCAAGATCTTTGCCGTGATTGCAACAATACCAAGTGGACTCTCGGCGTGGGTTCTCTTAGCCCTCTTCAGGACTTTCTGCTTACATTGTTATCAATTTTAGAGCAGAAAAAAGCTTGTGTGTGGCTGCGCTTGACATCTTCGAAGCGTACTTATCAGCATCAAATGATGTTAAGCCTTCGTTTGAAAATATTGGAACGTTTCCACTAGGCTTTCTTCTCCAACGCACAGCATTACGACCAGCAAGGATCTTCTACACAGTTGAACCAAGTTATGTGGTCATCAAAAAGGCACAGTTAGAACCTTCAGGTACAATATTGTTTGTAAAGTGGTTTGTATAACATGCTATTTTTTGCAAAATTTTCGAACCTTTACGTAAGACGTGCATAAATTTAACGGCGAATTAGTTGGATACTTGGATGGCCGCCCTCAGTCGTTGTGTGAACCCCAGCAAAATCTTCATTTTTGAGTGGTTATACTGTTTTTGCCATTGTGGTTACCTAGACTGCCAAGGTCAGCCTAGCCAAAATCCGCCTCAGGTCGTCACTACCACAGGCCGTTGCCACCTTTGTGGATCAGAGGGAGATTTGCCACCAAGCGACTAGTCCGATACCAGGACGTTGGTGATTCCTAGTACTAGATCACTTCTAGCTGGGCTTTTTGATGGAAAATCTGGACTCCTCAGCTTTGTAGGCCGCACTGGAAGATGAACCTCAAGCTGTAGATCGCAGCCCGACACACAACAGGAACATCTCTCAGCCAGGATGAGGCGGTAAACCGTTGCAAACAGTGCCTAAAATTAACGGCAGATTATTCGTAGATTAATTAAAGTTGGAGGATAATTGAATGTTTTGGCTTGATGTTTTGCAATAGTGATTTATTTCACTATCGATCAAGTAAGACATTTTCCAGACTTCGACAACCTTGATTACATGGAGCTTTCGGTGGCTACTGTTGACAGAGAGGTTGAACTTCCCGCTGGAGATGTGAGGTGGGTTAGCAAAGTGGTTGCATATTCGATGTGGTGCTTAAATAACGGAGTTCTAGATAAACTCAATTCTTTTTCAGTGATAGAGCAACTGTTAGTAAAGTTATGAACTGATCTTATTGAGCTGATGCGAAGTTGGTATAAGTTGTTTTTGTCGTTGGTGTAGTTGTTGTTGTCGTTACTGTTCCAGCAGCAACAACAACAGCGACATGTAATACCAACTTCGCATTAGCTCAACAACAAAAGTTCATAAGAACACATAAATAAATATATCGATTATTTATGCCGAGGTTTGTAGAAACTCGGTCTTTTGAGTTGTTAGTAAACTTTATTTAAAGTGAGTGTGCATGGGGTACCCATATGTCAGCCTGGTTTTCCCACTGATTTGCCAATGTGTCCTATAATATGGCACTTATTCCTGCTGAAATTGTCTCATAAAGGAGTTGATGTGCAATTTATAAATGCGTGTAGTTATTTGGCAATATTCTCACGAATAGTTTCCAGTAATCCATGGTCGGCAGTGCTGCCTTGCAAAGCCAGCTTTCAGTTGCGTTTTTCCTCGCCAATGCTGTTTAGCTATGGAATGTGGCGTCGATTGGAAAGGCATTTAGCGAGACCGGCTGCTGTAAAAGAAAACGTTAACCTTTATCGATATATGAGTGGTTTCAAGTTTCAGGTAGTTGATTTTTTGTTCTGTGCTATTATCGTCGAATGACTTCGATTTTCGTTTGTAGAATTTATGACTTTATTTCACTTAAGGTCTTATTTTTCCTATAAATTGTCGAAAAAAAAATTTGATGAAGAGAAATGAAGTACTCTTGTTTAGGAGTCCGAACTAGTGATGCGCACGAGCTTTCCGGAACCCTATCTGCAGCATAGGTATATTGTCAGTAACAGCTCGCTTCTGGAAGAACGGGATTGCGTCATATCAGAGATCTGCATAGGAAATGGCTCTTATCTCACAGAAGTAGGGCTAGTAGTTCCGTAGTTATTAGTACTAGTAGTTCCGTTTTGATCTCTCACAAACAAGATTTGTTTTTAGAAAAGAAAGGTTTAAGATTTATATTTTTCTACATGACCGTTATCCCATCTACTGTACGAATCCCAACATTTCTGGAATTCCATTCGTTTCCTCGTATCCAACATCCACAATGGTCTTCGAACATTTCGCGTGCTGTTCCAACTGTTCCTTGAGGATTTCGTCGTTTTTATGAATGTCGCAGATTGCTGGTCGAGTCAGTTCGCTTTACAATTTTGGTGGTAGCCAGACTAAGGCGTTCACGCGTGGATTGGAGGAGAGCATTGGAGCAAAGATTGAGCTGGTGCCTTTGCTTACGATGGCATCACAATCCACTGCGGCATCCTCATCCCAATATTTATATTTAAGTGAAAAACTGCTTTGTAATGAAGCAGTGTGTAGCATGTAATTAAATCTAGTGGAAAACTGAACTATCCATCTACCTGTGTTTACTGTTTTATTTATCGTTTATTATTTAAAGCCACCTGGATTTAAAAAAATAAAAGAACCTCTGCAATAGTTTCCCATGCATTGCACTGTAGTCATTCTATGCACCAGTACTCACGTTCCTTCGCAATCCAAGTTTAGAACTGTTCTGAAATCGCGAAAACGTATCTTTATGAACGTTTTCAATTCCAAAACGTCGTCATCTCCTTTTCTTTGCTTCATCCTTTTCTTTTTAGATAGTTTCCATTGTCCGTGCGCAGGCAATGCATAACAGTTTATGGGAGTCCTTGCTAGCAATGTGCAGTGGCAAATGTAAGAGTGAGCAACCTTATTTGGATGTTCGCATTGTGCCATCGCCAGCTCGTTACGAGCTATCATTCTGTGCTGCTAACAAAGTGTACCTAGGTTTGTTTTTTAAGCTTCTACAGAATTTTGGAGAACTTTTTTTTGTTATTGACTTTGCTATTATACCAGTCATGCTATGTACCCATCAGTCTCTAGTTAAATAGTTCATTAAACTACCGTCTTTAATCGTTCAACACATTAGCAGCAACGCACAAGTGATCTGGCATTTCCAACATATGCATTGATTTCAACGAATCTTATCTTCATATTTAGTTCTTTTTCTCTCCACTTCTTTCTCTACATGTTATCCGTAACCTCCTTATCGTCGATGTTATCCCAGACACGCTTCGGTGAAGAACTATTTTTTGTACACTAAAGTTTATAAGGAACTATTTTTTGGATGAGTTTATGCAGCTCAGTGAGTATTGTAGCGATTTTAAGACTAGCACTACAAGAGGTATGTCACATTGTTCTTGAAGAAGTTATCGATGAAAATGGAGCTAAAATATCTCCGTCTTGTACTATTAAAACTCCTATGCGACCTTCGATAGCACATTCGTGTTTACTGAACTGCGACATCACAGCTTCCCTACCTATCTACTGATGTAAATGACGCTCATAAAATTATGCTGTAACTTTTAACCTCGCAACCTATGTCTCCAAGATCTTCATTTTTTGAAAATTACTGCTGGTCTATGTGCAATTTATACTCTTCACAATTTACAGCTATCAAATTTCGTGGTATCGTTGAAGTCGTCATGTTTTGATAATTGCTTACGCCAGTTAGCAAAATATCTCCTTTGTTTGGGCAATCGAGCGGCCTACTCCAGAGCCGATCTCGACGGCGTAGATCCACTGTTTGTATTTTGAACTCACTGGTCACATTCCTCGGGATATTTTCGATCTAGTTCCTACTTGTATCAACGAAATACGTCGCTGTGACTAGGTGAAGGAGGAGTTTTATGGAGTAATAATTATGCAGAAGCAAAACGGTTGTATAACTTGTTAGTTTCCCTAACTTTTGTTGGAGAACGACGCTATCAGATTGCTTTTGTACAGAAGCAGTTTCTTTTAGCTCTCCGTTTGATAAACTACGGTTATCTTTTCACTTAAACACCACTGCACCGTTGTAGTTTTATTAGACCTTTGTTATCGCGGTTGATGCTGCGCTGAATCACGTGTCATTATGTCAGTTATCATTGTGTATGTTCTTTCCTTCATCCAACATTTCTTCTCTGAGCTCCGTCAACATGAATTCGGCCGCGCCGTCACTCACTTCTTTAAGGATCATTTCTGGTGTCAACCATTATTAAGTTTAGGCAGCAGTAGTGCACAAAATGAATAGAACTTTATCCCATACTTTTAACTAGTGTGCAGTGTGGCTCCCGAACTCCTCCCAAAACAGCGGAAAGGATTCGTTATTACAGAGCATGCTCTATGGACTCTTACACTTTCTTTTTACTAATTTGAAAAAATGCTCTTATAGAATACGTTTTGTTCACCATAAGACTGGTTGCATCGTCAAACTGAAGTTAATCAGCAACTTTTAATATCTAACCCTTAGCCTAACTTCGTGTTTTATTGGGCGTTTTCTAAATGTTGGGTGGAATTTCCAATAAAACTGTAATAATCTCTTAACCTTAACACTCTAATAATTCCTAAGAATGGTTAGTGTTTTCATCTCTTCAACATGTCGATACTTAACTGACAACGTTCTTGTGTCTGCTTCTCTCTTGCCGAACAATATACCAAATATGCGTTATAAGCAATTCATAAAAATGTGGTATTTGTATCTGCTAAGCAAAAATTGTCGATTCCCGCGTATTCCTATTGACTTCATGTTCAATGCCCAGTTGTTCAACGATAGTACACAGTTTTGTCACTCACCTCTGATGTCATCACTTCAACAACAGCACAAACGATTTATATTTGTTTTCAGCGTCTTAACCTTCTTAGGAGTCTACAAGTACGAGCTTGAAAGTCTCTGCTTATTCGTTTCTTTATCATTCCCGTGACCAAGCAGTGTTATTTGAAATGAGTGGATGTTAAGAAACATTAACAATACCAAATTATATTATACATATGCTACTAGGAAGACACGGATAGCGCAGTAGTGGGAGGCGCCCTCCAATACACATGAAGTCGATCCCCGCTCCCAAGGCTCACCAATCCTTCCATTTCCCCAGGGTCGGTAAATTGGTACCAGACTTGTCTGAGAGGGTAGGATCACTGGCTCGGTACATCGATAAGACACCGCGAGTCATTATAAGGACCAGATATGCATTCAGTCACCTCTAATAATGTTTAATGCAGTCGAATGCATGGCGCATCCCTCAAGGATTGATCAACACTGAGCGCTGTATCCTTTATATATTTATGATGCGAAACTAATTAGGGAGAGCCAAGTTCAAATGTATGAATACTGGATGATTTCTTTATCGCATACAAGAGATAGAAATACACCAGGAAAATGAAGGTGTTCATGGAAGAAATACCTTTTTCGATTTTTTTTATTACCCACCAAACGTGCACATCGAGCATTTCTTACGAGACACGTAGTATTCATCGTCCATAAAAGATGTTCGGGTTTATATGTAGTTGCTGAAATTAGGTGATTTCTTACCATTCATGGCGTAATGAAATACCGTTTGAAGTGACTTTCCTTTAAATCCGAAATAGCCCTGCTATAGCATCCCCAGGTCTTTATCGCTGGTAGTTTTCGACCTTTATGAATCCGATGGAGCTTTTTCCTAATCAAGTCTGATATTAATTTTTCGGATTTTATGGACGGAGATTTGCGTTGCGCCGGACTGATTTGAACCTATGGCTACGTGTGTTATAGGGCATCTGTAGTCACTGCGTTACATGTGCCTTAGAGGGAAGTGAAATCGTTAAAGTTGTAAAATTCGGAAAAGTCGCGATTATTGGGCGAAAGACAAAGGAAAAGTCGTCTTTTTAAGGGGTAGACACCTCGGACTGTTTGTGCGTGGTGTCCGTTGTGCGGCGAAAAATTAGGTGTCGTAACTAGTGTGTTAAGCTCGCCATTGTGTAATTTACTTCATTATTTCATCTATCTTGCAGTTAGAATTGAATTAACACGGGAGTTTGAGTGGATTGGAACAGTAGAAGATGCGAATGGCGCTATTGTGAGTGCAGATCTCAACTCTTTGTTAACTCAGAGGATTAATAGGTGGGTTTTTTGGAATTATCGATGAGTTCCTTTCCATATCATATCCTGTTTCTTGCATAACCCATAGGCCCGTTATCTTCGGATTAGACAAGTGAATACCCCTAAATTTCCACTACTTTATGTTGCGCGCCCATAACTAACCAATGAGCAGCGTTTGGTTGAGAAGGAAATGCTTTTTACTTGTTTATGTTGATTTCTTCACTTCACTGTTTTCAAATTGAGTACTCCGAGAAGTAGATCGCTGAGCTTTCTCTTTGCAGAGGAGCGGTTTTATTAAACTCCTGGAATAGATTAGACTGAACTCGAACAGGAAAGGTTTTTGTGGCCCAGTTGATGTTCAAGATACACTCCACATACATGCAAATAAGTACATATCTCTGAAGTTGATTACTTACATTTCGGTGCAACACAGACTGGTAGCTTACCTTTTGAGTCCTGGCAGTGCACAGGGTCGTTCTAAATCCGCATTTAACACTTTCTGCGCCTTATGCGAGTGGGGTACGAAATCTTCTCAGCAAATGCATCGAGATGCTTTAGGAATGAGGTTTTATCTATACCAATCGCTCAATCGATTTTATGTAACGAGAGCTGACTAATCACATAGTTTTGTTCTTGAAACTATTTGTTTTTAACATTTATTTTTATTTGATTAAAATTTACTCACATTACATTTTCTTTAGAACACGCTCCATTCCTGTTGCATTGGTACGTGTACTGAAGGAGCTTGGTTGTGAAACCGTCCACGGTCGACCTGTTTGTGAAGATCAAATGTCGATGGAAGTGGATTATGAGCACGGTCTTGTATCGAGCATGGATAAAGTTGGCAATGCGTGGTTGCCAATGTTCAACAGAAGTAAACAACCAAAGAAATCGTGTCAACCAAACTTACCTGAATTCACATTTGAAGTGCACACAGTACCTTTAACAACACCTGGTGGCCTGCTTGCGTCATACAAGGAAATTGCCTCAGAGCGTGGAGCTCATCCACTGACGGCTGCTCGAGCGGAAGCGCGCACCCATCTGGTGCAATCTGATACAGCGCTAGCTATATCGGACCTGGTAGGATATTTAAGAGAAGAGGTGGCAAAAGTGACATTGAAGTGCAATAACATGTTTCATGTATTCATAATTTATGCTTTAAAGATTTTTAAGGAGAGCTTTCCATTCACACTGCGAAGTAGATGAAAGGGTCAGTTGTTTGTTGCAGAATCGTAGCTATTTAGATGTGGTTTCCCAACCATTTAGCAAATGTATGAGTTGTTGTGCGCGTATGGCGCACTGGTTGGAGGCGTCCTGCAATACATATGGGATCGATCCCGGTACCGTAGGCTTACCAAGCCTCCCATCCCGTCAGGGTCGGTAACTTGGTACCAAACTTGTCTGAGAGGATAGTTGCACTGGCTCGATACACCGATAGACCGCCCCGAGTAAAGGCCAGATATGCATTCAGTCACCTCCAGCGGTTCTTAGTGAAGTCGAAGGCATGGTGCATCCCTCAGAGATTGATCAAGGCAGAGAGCTTTTTTATGAGTTGTTGTTATGGAATAATTACGTCTTGATAGCGTTTGAAAGTGCAACTTTTGCAGTAAGGGCGGCAAAATGGTTCAAAATATTTGTAAACATCCACTGTAGATGTCTCGCTATCTGTCACTTTTGTCACGAATTTGAGTTAGCTATGCTTGCCTCCATTTATCGTTTGTGGTTAGTCACATGTGAATTAAGAAGGGTTTTGTGTAACCTTAACTGCATCTAAAGTTCGAATCTTTATAGTTTCAGCTCTACCGAGAAAAGTTTAGCGTATCGGGGATATGCGAACTAAGTAGTGGAGGTGTCGAACAGGATAATGACACCATGGTATTACGGATCGATACGTATGCGTTCATTGCACAGAGAACCTTCCTTTTGGTTTGAATGAGTGATTAATTACTCAAAAATACAATGAAAACGATAAAATTGGAGGCGGCAAGCACTCAAAGCTCAGACGGCATTTTGGACTGGTCGGGTTGAAACATGTGTCTTGCAGGAGGCGATTTGTCAGCTAGCCGATGGCATGGATGATGATAGCAAAACGTCGACGCCATCGCTACCTGCGCGACACTCGACCAGTCCAGCGTCGTCGCGCCCCCCTGGCTGTGTTGGTAGCAGTGGTCCTGGTTCCGGTGTTCCGCAATTAAGTCCACTGGAGACTGCTAGGTTAAAGATGACAGTGAGTTTTGCAGCATAATGATTGTCACGTTGTTTTTGCTGATTTTAAAGTAATTCTGGTGATATCAATGCTGTGGGGTTGTGGAATTCAGCTGTCCACCTATTCGGGATGGCTAGCGGAAAGGAAAGTTTTGTTCTGCTCTTATTTATCCAATGGTTACAACTGTTTGCAATTCTTGATTATAGATAACCAAAAAGCATATTTATATTGGTGTATTATTAAAAGTGCAGTTCGTCTAAGTCTTATCGGGAAATGAAAGTTGACAAGATCAACGGACCACCGGATAAAGCGATGGGATCAGAGGAAAAACGAACTGGAATTTTCCAAAATTTATCTCTCAGGTTACAGTAGTTTGCAAAATTGATACCAAAGTTTATGAATAAGACATAATTCTGTTTGCCGAAACGCCTTTTGTTTTAGAGAAAATTGTTTTGTACATGTATTCCAAGCGTGGTTCTTTGAACTGGAGTGCTCATCTACTTGGAGAGTATTCTTTGTAACGCCATGTGCGTTGTCGTTTGCGTGGAAATTCACCCACTGGAATCACGTATTGCAAGAGTCTCAGCATGTAGTCTTCACACTTCGCTGCTTGACTCGATCCTTCAAACTCAATGAGATTGATGATGATACCTCGATTTCGACGAATATGGACTTCGATGTTAGCTATACAAGAAGAGCGTGCATATCCGACTACACTGAAGAGGTGAAGAGGTTGGCTATCATCACGTTGTCATAATGAGCCACTATGAGGATACCTCAAGTTGACCTACCAGCCGCTGCGCTCAATACTTCCACAAAGTGTAGAGTCCTATGAAGATTTTATTGAAAAGGAGATATTCATGCTAGATATTCGATCGCTAACACTTGAACTCGTCGTCAGAATAGTTTCTTGGGAAAAACATGTAACCACTGACAGAACGTATTTAAGAGATTGAGTAGCTTATATGTTGTAGGTTGAGACAAAATCATGTCGCTATACTTACTTGGTACTTGAGCGGCCCGTAATCACTAGCTGTGCGGGCCCCAGCACAATCACCATTTTTCGGAGATTTGCTTGTTAAGCCATTGTAGTTCCCTGGAATCCCGAGGACAGCCTGGCCAAAGTCTGCCTCCCATGTCGCTATAGCTTTCTTAAATTCAAAAAAGAACAGATGAACTGTGGTTTGAATAAATCTAGAAGATAAAGCGACTGAGGCTTTAGTTTCCTATCACCAAATTAATTGTATGGGAGGCAAAAATGTGCTCGTTGACGTGCAGGGAAGGAACGAGCTTCCAAGTGAGGTGTCTTTGCGGGATAATTATGGAGTTGTATTTAGAACGTTGTTAACGCAATCTTCGTCGAAAATTAGGTCACAACGTCGACGAATCTATAAAGTTTTCCTAATTTACGTCTATTACGGTTATAGCCCAGTGCTGTTCCTTGTAATAGTAGTAACATTCTAGGCCTATGTCACTTATTTACTCTTGGGGCATGGATTTGAGGCATATTTTTCTACCCTTCTCTCACATTGAAATAGTGTTCCAACTATTTGTTATTCATTTCAAAAGATATACTTCAAAGCGGGAAATATGGAGCGCATTAGATGAGAAGTTATCCTGATAGCTTTTCCCTCCCTTACGGCTTGCTATTACTATACGCTTCTGTAAGTTTACTGTCGAGATAACTCTGTCGGCCCTTCGCTGTTTGATTTCGATCTGGGAGCAGTTGTGTTTTTAAAGCTGTGCTTGAGCGTTAAGTGGGCACCAGGAAAATTTAAACGTCAGCTGGCTTTTTGCGTTCATATTTAAAGTCAGGTAACACTCATACGATCCTTTGTGCGTAGTGCATTTAGCACTATATTGTTAGAAATTTGGAGGAGGATTGTTGCCGAACACCGCTTCCATACCTTCTCGTCTAGCTCCCGTACGTTGTCTGCTATGGTCACCAAGGTTTCTGCTATTACTTTTGTGCACTCTGTATTTCACTCCTTGCCACGATCTGTAGTTCTTTCCATACTGAGTAGTTGATATATAACTTTTCTGTGTATTTCCATTTTTTTTTCTTAAGAAATTTTGAGATCTTGCTTCCTATTTAGTGCTTGCTTAGTTCAGGCAGCTATGCACCAATTTATTTGGTCTCATTTGACCAGAGATAAATATCCCACCACTCTCGGTTTCTAGGAATTCGCATGTTTCTTTGACTTGGAAGACGGGGCTTTCTTATTCCTTAAAGTCGTGAATCCGCTGAAGAATCAAAGAGTTGCTAGTGTTGTAATCTGATAAACTACTCGTTCACCGTGCTCTTGAAAAAGTGCAAATTTTGCGCCAAACGGCTGATGATTTGGTTTTGCTCAGAGCACAAAAAGTATTCATTCTTTCAACGATACTCAAATATTCTCAAAACTTCGATCCCGGGCCAGATCCCAGACCCACCTCAGCATCGTTATGGTTGCTTTCACATAATACACTGCTGTAGTAATTGTAGTAGGCAGTAAATAAAAAAGTAAACATTGTGATTTCGACCGCAGCCCGAGCTTGACTGGTTTCGACGCCGATGCGAGCTTCCCAGTTGAGTTCCGTTGATTGATGATTGCTGACGCTATTGGTAGATAGAAAATTGGCTGCGAGAAACGCAAAGTAAGGGCCTATGTGGCACAGTGTGTAATGCGCGAGTCCTCGGAAAGGGGAATCGTGGTTCGATTTCACTCGGGGTCAATGTTTCGCTAACATTTCAGCATCGTTGTGGTTTTCCCATTTCGCATGATAGCCTGGGAGCTGTCAGTTCTGTCCTCATCGACGTATTAGATGGCGTTTAGGTGTTTTTTTATTTGAAATCTCGATAAAGCTGCGCTAGAGCATTCTTGGTCTATTCGCTACAAGCAATTGCCATTTCCCGTGGAGTGGAGCGGACTTCTTTTTCACCTCATCTTCTGGGATTCCTCCGAGATGGCCGCGATATTTGTGACGATACCGTGTCCTACGCGATTAATCGAACTCTCGAGAGCGATGTAACGAGCCAAATCCGTCTTGTGATATTAGTTTTGAACAGATTTACCCTGTTAATGTAATTCTGTTGATGTTGTAAATATTGTTATTACAGAAGACGTAATACCGTTCTCTAGGCAAGTGTTAAGAACTTAATGAGGAACGGCTGCTAGAAGCGTGCTTAAATCAGTCGTTATTAATTCCTTTTTCATCTGTTATGAGTTTGCCAGTATTTTATCTCCAGCCATTTCTTTTCAGCATAGTGTGGGGGCTGCAGCGGCAGTGGGACTGGCATCGGCTACTCCGGACGTATTCGAATTCGCCGATGACCGATCTGTTGGCAGCGGATCGGCCTATCCGTCACCTTCGCCACAATTTACTCCATTTGCCTGCGGCACTGCTGGAAGTCCCTTGGCAGGACAATCGATCAGGGGCGGTAAGCATGTTTTATCTTTATTTTTCTTAGCATATTGGCGGATACATGAGTAGCGTATGAGTCATGCGTTTTGTGGCAAACTTAGTCCTCTTGGACCTCCGTTTCTTTGGTTGTTGAATCGCTATCCTTCCTTCTCCTTCAAATCCTTGTTAGGAATAATGAGTAGGTATGGTTAGGCTTATATTCTGTATTCGTTGAAAACCGATAGGATACGGGATCTATGAGGCTTAATTATAGTTCTTACATTTGCATAACACATTTTGTTACTTCCAGATAAGATGTACAAATATTTAAGCATCCATTAAATCGTTTCCATGCTGTGACGCTGGTAATTTTCTTCCTCCATACTTCACTTACTGTTCCTAGTACCTTCAGTTTCAACGTTGCTTCTTGCTTGGAAGAAAACAGCCTTTCTTACAAAAATTCAAAGTAGCGGGTTGAATCACCAACATATGATAGTTTAGCTACAACGAAACGACGTCCGCGTGCTCGTAAAACAGCTAACATTGGTGGTCGGATTGGCGACTTTCCATCATCAATCATGAAAGGTCCCACAATGACTGGGGTTTCGACACGGAAACCTCGTGGTGAGTTTGTAATTTCATGTGTTTATCGCTTTGTTTGATATGCTCTCTGTCGAGTTTGTGATTTGATTCACAGATTTGGTACGTATGTGGAATGAGTCTAATTTCCGTTATTACTGTATCTGGACTTGGTTTCGTTCCTTTAAGGGATCTAACCATTTCCACTCGAATATATTTTGATCCTTTAATTCCTTTCCATTTCTCATCTTAGAAATCATCTGTCATATTTTCTCTGCCTTGCGTGATTCATACCAAGGCACCTTTTACACTATCTAGCAGAAAATGCACTGTTTTGTAGATGTCATGTGGAAAATTTTGGCTTGGAAATTATATCACTACCTATTTGTATAACTTTCCATATTCACTGAACCTCGTAAAAGTGTGTTTCCTGTTGCCAAAAAAATTCATCAGGGCTCTGGAAAATTAGTAGAGTACTTTTACGAAGCAATTAGAGGAGCGCGATTTGTATCAAGCACCTTAATTCCTTGGCAAACCCAAGTTCTACAATGAACTAAGCTTTATCCAAAGTGTATGAGATGAAACGTAGTTTGTCACAACAGAGACTTTCGTAGGTAGTCGTAGGAGGTGGATACTCTGATGGCAATTATTGATAAGGTCCTATTTATGCGGTGTTCATCTGCTTTTAGGAAATTAGCCAATTTATGCATTATTCCTCCCAACGGTTTACCGTCTCATCGTCGCTGGGAGATGTTCCTGTTGTGTGTCGGGCTGCGATCTACAGCTTGAGGTTCATCTCCTAGCCCGGACTTCCGAGCTGAGAAGGAGTCCGGATTTTCCATCAAGAAGCCCAGGGAAGAGTGATCCAATACTGTGAATCACCAGCGTGCTGGTATCGGACTAGTCGCATGGTGGCAAACCTCCTCCAGATGCACAAGGTCGGCGACTGCATAGGGTGGTGGAGACCTGAGAAAATCTTTGGCTAGGCTGGCTGGGGGACTCCAAGGAACCACAGTGGCTAAAGCAGCAACGTTCCGTGGAATGGAGATTATGGTGGGTGTCCTATAGCCAGTGAAGAAAGGTCAAAAAAATAATTTCAACAGAACTGCAAAATGAACCGATGGCGTTGAAGATTACAGATAGCAATATCTTAAAATATTTCCTACGTTTTATTGCCGTTATTCTATTTTCCACCACGGGTACTACGTCAACTCAAGAAAAGAACGAATCCACAGTAGTTCGCTAAGAGTCTGTATGATTGTGTTTTATTGTCTTTTCTACTGAACGATGATGAGACTACAACTGCTATGACGTAACTGACGTATTAGTAGTGGAGGTGTTTTACACTTTTTCACAGTCTCCAAACAGGATCTTACGGACCGTCACTCTCATCATGAAGAGTGATTGAAGACATCATCGAGACTATCGAACGATTCACCATTTTTGACAGGCAAACACGAGGTTGTTATTACAGCATTTTTTAGTAGACAATTTTAATGTTCCGGCGGATTTGCTTTCTTCAGAGTCTAGAAAGGTTAAATTAGCATGTAATCTACTCAGTCAAGCACTTTTATAACCTCAGCGGATAAAACCTAGCACATATATTTTACCGAATGATTTGTTTATTGAATTCCAATGTAAGCTGTTCATGGAATAGTCCTTCCATGCACACTAAGTACTTTGAATCGAGCTCAACCAATTACGCAAGCAGGATTTGGTGAAAGATTTTGCTGCATATGTCCCATCCCCACTGTATCTGGTGTCATTGGGCTCTGTGAATACAACCTGCTTTTGTTCTAACCTTGCGAAAAATCAGCGTCGAAAAGTTGTCCAACATCGTCAGTGCGAAAGTATTCGAGTGTAATCCTTTAAACAATCGTCGACCAGGAGATGGATCGGAATCCAGCTAATTGCTATCACAGCTGCACCGTGGAAATTCTTTTTGCCACTAATTTTCTACTATCCCTTTAGGAAAAGCGATTTGATGGTGCCACTTATTGAGCTGAAGCATTCACCGCTAGATTCTTATGTAAACATATTGCTCGATCAAGGTGACATTAGAATACGTATTGATGTTAATTCTCTATCAAATCGTCATTTAAACGACGATGTCGTCATCCCACCTAGAAAGTGCTATTGAAGCAGGGACGGTGCTTACGGAGCCCAACGAAGAAAAAAAGGGCTAATGGGTCGTACACTCCGGGTTTACCTTTTTGACTCAACGGTTGCCTCACAATTCTCCTGTGCTCCTGAAATATTTTAACTTCGTCGGAACTTTACGGATTTCTGGCATTAGTTCCTGGCATGTCGCTCTAGTTTCACCGCAAACAAAGCCTTATCGGCGTATGGAATAAGTTTTGGTCACTTATAAGTCACTTACAATGACGGACGATTCTACAGCAAGTAGGCGATGAATTGTGGAGAAAGACCCCTTATACAACTGATGATTATGTGAAGAGAAAGCTCAACATTTGCAATCTGTTTCTTAGAATGGAACAGCAAGAATGAACAGTGTGTAGGTGAATGGAGTGAAATTACTTTTGCTTGGAGTGGACGGTAACGGTGGCAAAGTTGCTGTAACTTTTCACCCTGCCAATGTAATACATTAACTATCAAATAGCATAAAGGGTAAAGGATAAAGTTCTCGGCGTTGATCAATCCCTGAGGGATGCGCCATGCATTCGACTTCATTAAGTGTCATTGGAGGTGATTTAATGCATATATGGCCTTTGCAATGACTCCCGATGGCCTACCGATGTATCGAGCCAGTGCTGCTATCCTCCTAGACAAGTTTGGTACCACTTTGCTGACTCCGGAGGGATGGAAGGCTTGGCAGGCCAGGGTGCGGAGATCGATTCGACGTGTGTTGGAGGGTACTTCCGACCACTGCGCCACACGCGCTTATCAAATCGCATACATGAATATATGTACCACTAACATGGAAGAAGTGTAAAATGATAAAGTGGAGAGTGTTCTTTAGAAGGTTGAGAATGATCTCTATACAACATGTGTACGTTTTGCAAGAGACTCAAATCTTTGGAGAACATCATTTGCAAAAGCTGCACGAAGAACTAGAAAGTTCCGTTTGCATCATCAATTGCTGTGCAGTTGATACCATCTTTGTTGAACGGAAGTCCAGATCACCCAAGCGCAGCTTGATTGTGGTACGATGACAGCCGAGTTTTTCCATCAGTTTTCATGTAGTTGCACTGGGATACTCTTTCGTCCTCTGTTACAGCTCGTTGTTGTTGACAGGTTGTCGTCGCCGATTTATGCTAGCTTTATGGAATACATGGTAGTGCGGAAATCACCAAGGCAGAATGGACTCGTGCAAAGTGTATTTACTTCATGCGTTATTGATGATAGTGGTGTTTTCCTGTTATTGGCTCAGCGTTCGTAATGGATGAGCACTCGAATTCACAGTCTGCCTATTTAGTCCTTTTTTTTTGCTCTCGTTCAAAAAGAGTATTTCTTCACACTCTTATTGGGAGACCTGCTGAAATTTCTAGCGTGCCTAAGTATAGCGAGCCCTTGAAAGGGAAAAGGAATTTTACTGCAAGCGTTTGTTTGTTTGTTTTCGTAAGATAAAATGCCATGTTCTTAAGGGAAAGATATGCCTTTTTCAGGAAAAACTGGAGTACGGCGTCCACGTGGTTCTCGGAAAGCTGCCTTAACGATAACACATGCGGAATTGGAAATACATTCGCGAGTGCCTCCTCCATTACAAAGATCTTACAGCGATTATGAACAGTTGTCGAATCAGGGTAATTTTACCTATCACAAGAATATCTTGAAGTTTTAGATTTTCTTCATTTAAGGACTTGTTGGAGCATCAACTTCACCTTACTTAGACACTGAATCTGACGATGAATGCGATCCTCCACCTCCACCAAAATCGCTGGGAATATTCCAATCGCCGGCGACAAGTCATACGTTGACATCTTCTTCAGCTGCGAACAGTCCTTCCCATGTAAGTGACAGTATTTGCTCTTTTTTTCTGGCATCTGTGCTTTACTTCTTCAAACTCAGATGTTTCTGACCAGCTGCGAGAGTTATACACTATCAAACTTCCATTGTATACGTTTGATGTCACGAATTGGAAAAATCCGAAAGTCGCAATTTGCTTGTATTTGTGATGCGTGCGAGACTAGTATTTCCAGTCAATGAGTCCGCTTTACGCCACCTCCGGTACTCCTGTGTCGACCTCCCACCCGCCTCAATCTCCGCTGGCGACAGCTTCGCCATCGGTTAATCGGCCAAGTACAGTTCCGTCGCCACGATCGAACCAATCCAAAAAACCAAACGTTGATGCTGTAGTTGGAAGAGTGAAAACAACGGTACCGCAGCAAACTACTTCGGCAGCAAAAAGGAGTGTCTTCAAGTAAGTGGAAGTTTTTTATTTCGTTGTTTTCTTTACTACTGGATATTGACTCCTCTAGTCTGAACGCTCCTACTGAGGCGCTTTTTCAAGTACGATTGAATTTCTTAATTCATGAACACTATCAGAAGCAAAACGTCATGTGTTATCTTTTTAAATCTTATGCCTTAGCGATCTCTACGACGATGGGACTGAATCTTCACCACCTCCTGAAGAGCGCACGTCGCTAGCGTCGACTATATCATCTACGGCTAATACGTCAGTTAGCGCAACACCATTGCAGTCTACTACGATCACTACTCAAGTAAGATTTGGTTACGGTTCACATCGAGCTATTCATTCTTCCTTTTTTTACATTTTATTTTGCGACAGTATTCCTTTAACGCTTAATTGGCATTTCTTTAAGATAAATTTTACATATAGACTCGATATAACATAGAATAGTTGTTCCTATTTTTATATGAAAATATTGAATTTAGATCTTGTGCTTATTTTTTGTGGAGAAGCCAGGTATTTTCATTATATTCTGTCATACTGACAGTATGACCTATATTTAATTGTTATTTATTTTTAAACGATCCATCTTCACATTTGCTGTGTGGATCCCTGCACTGTTTGCATTCGATTCCTTCCCTTGCACCCAACATCCACGAAGGTTTTCCAGCTTTTGCGAGTAGGTTCGGCTGTTGCTTGAAGATTTTCCCTACGTTATAAATGTCTTTGAATACAGGTCGAGTGGATTCTTCTTGGAGTTTTGAGATTGCTGGGCGAGGGCGTTCTGACTTAGATTGCAGCAAGTGAGCTTTTCTCAGAAAAATCTGATACCAGTGTGCCGTCGAACCAGTCCCATACTCGTAATGATCGGCGGTACTAACACTGCGCTACCTATCCACCACAACCAATATGGCTTCTAGAAACCTTCGCCTGGTGGCGTTCATAGTTATAAGAATACTACATAGTTGCGAATATTAGTCCGATTGACTGCTCGCTCTTCTTTCGTATTCTCCGCGCAGGACTTCATGTAATAGTTGCTGAGCCGAACTTGGAACACTGGGTAGTAGCCGTTCATAATAGTAATAACAGCAATGACAGTGCAGTGATAACGATACAAAGCGAAAGTTGCGAATTAGTGAAGCACTGAGTGAACGAATTGAACTGAAAGCTGACGGAGCATCCTATATTGTTAGGATAGGCGGAGTTTAGCTATGGTAGTTGAAGATATGGTATGCAGACAGTTTCAAGAGGTGGTTTGAGGAGCAGGTGGCAGAACTTTCTAAGGCAGGAACATCTGATGAGGGTGATTAAACAGACAATGCTCTAGTCGCGAATGCCTTCGTCAGAAAAAATGGCAGATGAGAAGCTCTAACAAAGTTTTTACACAGCACTTTGCTATTTCGAGATGACTAAACACTGCGAGTCAGATACACGTCATATGAAGAGTAGCCAAGAAAGCAATAATTGTAAAGATAAAGAATATTCGACAACTATTGATAGCTTTCTCTATATTCCCTTCCCCACTCCTCCATTTAAAAATGGAGACGGAGTCAGTTTTTATGGCTATTTCTGGGTCTGGTGCTGGATTGTGATGTTGAGGCGTTTTACTTGAGTAGCGTTACTCGAGTTGTGCAGCTAGATCTGTGATTTCCTGTCGCCTATAGAAAAGCTTCTGCAAGCATTATATGGAGTTATATAGAAATAGAAACAGTAGTGTTGTAGTAGAATATAGTAGTAGAAAAGGATACGTACAGTAGAATATGGTGAACGTGATTAGTCGGAGTACTAAAAGAATAATGTGGACAGTTGTTTTAAAAAAAGGATAGAGCTCCTGGCATTGATCTATCTCTGAGGGATGCGCCATACATTCGACTTCATTAATAATCGTTGGGGGTGATTGAATGCATATCTGGCCTTTACAATGACTTGCGGTGGCCTACCGGGATATCGAACCAGTGCTGCTATCTTCCCAGACAAGTCTGATACCAATTTGCCGACCCCAAACGGATGAGGGACTTGGTGGCCATGTAGTGCGAGGATTGGTTTCGGTCCCATATATATTGCAGGGCAATTTCGACCAGTGCGCCACACGCGGACAATTGTTTAGGAGTAGCAATATGCTGTGAGCATACTGTACTTGAGCATAGTATTACGAACTGAAAATTAGTGTTGAACATAAGACACAGTTGAGATGAACGCAAAATGGTGACGGTGGGCATGTTTCAGTAATGTCATTTGATTGATTGTAGGCGACTTTCCATTGAACTTTGTGCTCGTGAAGGATTATATGTGGTAGATGCTCCATGAGCTCGTTATATTCCAGTGTTTCCAAGGTTTTACAGTAACTATCTGCACACACATTGGAGTCTGTGTTACGACGTGAAATGAGTTGTACTCATCCGTTGATGGCGGTAGTTGATAGCTCAATATGAATTCGTCGCTGAGCATTGCGCCACAATAGCGAATAGAGGTAAAATGTTGAGGATTAATGAAACGTTTGGAATTGCTGTTAGTGGGAGGTTGACAAGGTTACTGTAATGGATTCTCTGCTGGTGTCGTAGATTGTATCTACCTGATCGCTTGATGGGAGCTTTTTCTGTGGTTCTTGTGTTGTTGTCCTCCATTGGTAATTTGAGTTGTTTGTTGTTGGTCGTGGCGACCTTGTCTCGAGTTGCTGACTCTATGTTTCCTGGAATGAAGGTTCATCTAATTCTGACGGATTTAATATATTGAGTGCTCTGAGAATAGGGCGGTGTGATGATAGTAGAATAACAGCGTTCCATACGATTCCTTTTGAGTTCTTGACGAGTTCTTTAATTGTCTCCATCTTCCACGAATATCGAGGTTGCGCAAGGTCGTTGATTAGTTCTAAGTTGCCTTTTTAGGAGTATATTTTGAGCTTCTTCCTTGTGTGGGTTCACCTTAATGTTTTTCTTCGAGCGATGTTAGATAATGAGTTTTCCAAATTGTCGAAATTTTTCCTGTCAATCTGTAGGATGAATTTAAAGCTCTTATGACTTGTTGTTTTGTTCGTAACGTGATTTTTTCTTTTAATGGAAGGCACCAGGGTTCGCTTGCTTCTTCGTGCCAAAGTTTATCTAGTTGTGGGGAAATTTTCGAAGTCTTTTTGAAGAAAGTGAATAAGTGTTTCTTCCTATGCCAATTGCGATTCTACGTGTAACAGCTGCCTATTATTAAGGAGTGACTCAATTTCTATTATTACTGTTGTTAAGTGCTCTATTGAATGTTTTGCTGTTACGGGAGTTTTATACAAGAAATGTTCTAGTGATTTGATGAGTTTTCTATATTGCGACATTTAATTTCTCTTCTGCAACCATTAGGCCTTCAGAAAATTAACACCGTATTTTAGCCAGTGTTTTGAAAGTGGTATATCTCAGCTCAGAATAAACTTTATCAGTCTAAAGAAAAACATTAAAACCTACACAGTGTTTTCAACGAGAAGCAAATTTATTGCACCAACTGCTCAAAATTATGGCCGACTGAAGGCGATAAGCTCATTGAAGATAGTTCCGCCTAATTTCTCAAGGAATTTTTATGCAGAAAGTTGTCGAGAAACGATTTCTCATATAGGAAGTTGTTGAGATGCTTGAACAAATAATAGTCGATAAGCGAGAGATTTTACGACTATGGTGGATGAAACAGAATTTCGTAACCCTGCTAGTTCAACTTTTGCAGCGTCGGTTGTACAACGCGCTGCCATGCGTCATCGTGTAGATGGATTGGTCCTGTTCGGTCGACCAATGTGGGACCGTCGAGATTTCTGGTGTATTATATCGATTTCCTGGATTTCGATATTCTATCGTCGTTCTATCGATTTCCTGGCTTCCTTACCGTAACCGTTCCACCCGTGTCACGAAGCAGTGGTGGATCAAACCAGCTGTACACAACCAAACCGTTAACTGATCTTTTTTTGCCGCAATTTCGGGTTTGGCTAGTGCTGCGGAGCTTCGTCGCTGTCCTTCCACTGAGTTAGTTGTCACCGACTGTCGTAGAAGATCCATTCTTTGTCGCACGTTATAATACGGTCGAGAATCATTTTGTTCAGATTGTGCAGAAGAATCACCGACAATACCTCAAAACAGCGATTTCTTTGATTGCAGTTCAATTCGTGTGGCATCAGTTTGTCTAGTTTTCTCCCTTTTAAATTTCTTTTAGGTCCTCCAAAATGGTTAAGATGCTTAAACGGTGCCCGGCAAGCTCTCTAAGAGTTTCGCTTGTATTTTCTTGCAGGGAATTCTTCACTTGATCATCGTCATTAGCAGAAGCATAACCGCAATCTACCTTATCTTGAAAGTCAAATTCGTCATGACAAAATTTTCGAAACCAACGTTGCACTGTGTATGCGATAACACTTCCTTGGCACTATACCCCCAAAGGTTTCGAGCCGTTCGGGCTACACCACGTCTCCGTTTGAATTCGTACAAGTGGATGTATCCAAATTTTTGTTCTGACTTCTAAACCAAAAAACTAAAACTTTTGTTCGCATTAAAAAATTTGTCAAAAGCAAAATTTATGTTAGAATTCGATTACACAGAGCTAAAGCCCACAAAATGAGCTTTGCAATGAGAGACAGCTATTTTATATATTATCTGAAATGGTTGGAAGTTACTGTAAAGCTCACAGGTCTTTCTCTAGCAGAGTTTTTACAAGCTGGGACTTGTATTTTTTGTGTCCAAAATGGGCAGATTCTCTAGTCCATACAAAGAACTAGCGAGAGAAAGATGCTTCTCTGCACTTCAAAGCCATCTTCTCTTCACCGAATTCGAAGTGTTTCCACACGTAGTATGAAGCAGACCGCACCAGATTGGTAAGTATGTTTGGATGGTTTACCTACAAGGGTATATTGAAAGACAGAGAGAGGAAATTTTCGCAGTCAGATAAGGAATAACCTGCGTAGATATTTTTACTCTTAATACGACTTAGAATTGCAGTACTCCAACTTGTTTTGATCCAAACGAGTAGGTGATTTCCTCTCGTCCACTATCCTCGAACATCTTCGAAATTTTTTGCATGTGGCTTCGGCTACAGGCTTGAGCATTTTTTACTCTTTCTCACGAATGTCATTGAGTTGTGGTCCAGTCTATTTTTCATGGAATCGTGAGATAGCCGTATCGGAGTGTTCTGGTGCGGATTGGAAGGAGTGGGATTGTAGTAGAGAAGTCTAGTGCCAATTTTCAAACCCCGAGAAATGAAACGCTTGCTGGACCCGATGCAGTGTCTAACAAGCTCTGGTTAGCTAGCTGTCCGTTAAATGATCAGAATCTTTACCACTACCGCTACCCACTCTCTAAATCTAAAAAAAGCAAATCTGGATTAATCGTCAACATACCTTTCAAATAGAAATTCTGCTGGAAACCATACCGTTCTCTATTAAGGATGCCTATTCATTTATCTAGTATCCTTCTATCACAAATTCATGTCCTTGAATTTTTCTTTAGTTGTTAAAAAGAAGTTGTCGTTATGGTCAAGGTAGTTTCAATTGGTAGTTTTGTAGGCAAGCACATCTTCTCCACGAGTCTCCGAATCGGTGAGAGAACAGGCTGCGTCTGGTGACCTCCTACAAAGCAATACGCCAACAGTAAATATTGAAGGGGCTAATAAATTAATTTTGAAGGTATTTTCAATGTTTGCATAACAAAATCTTACAAACTTACCGATAGACTTGTTCTCTATCTTTATAGTAGACCCTTGTCCTTGCCAAAGTCACTGATCGTAATGTCTTAACATCTACTTATTGCTGATTCTTTTTTCGTAGCAGGATATGATGTGGAGTAAAACCACACTGATGCTGCTGAGATATGACCAAAACTCGCAATTTAAGTGAGTTTTCAACTCGCAACTACCTTTGCTAGGAGCTCGCGCGCCATCTGCGCCACCAACCGACGTCCTTGCTTTGTTTTTCTCTGTTGTTTTTTTTACTCTATCGATGCTGTCAACAATCACCTATGAATAGGAATGATCTGGTAAGCAGGAATTGGTGTTTAATTAACCCGAAGCTCACCTGAAGTTCTATGTTTTGCTCATATCTTGGCATGTTTGTGGTTGTACTGCACATAATAAGTACACTGCCATGAAAAAATAAAAGGCGGTAAATAAAGGTCAAGATATTGTTATTTCGACAGCATCTTCAACTTAACTGGCTTCAGTGCCGATTTGTGCTCTTACATCGTTTTAGTTAACGGATGATTTCTGATATCAGCGAAAGAGTAAGAAACTAGCTGAGAGAAAGGCAATGCCAAGGCATCGGTTGTTGCTATAGATAGCACATGAACTCCCCGCAAAGGTAATCGCGGGTTCGAAGCACTTCTGAAATTCCGAGTTTCACTGGTCTTAGTGATGAAATATCTGTTCCCATTATAGTAGTTTTACCTTCACTGTTCAGATTCCAAAAGTATCATCACGAGCGTCACCATCGGTGGAAACTCAGAAGACAAAGTCGATTCCAATGCAGACAATGCCAAAATTAGAAAGACAAGATAAGAAACGAGAAAAGGAGAGAAAAGAAGGCCATAAGGTGATCTTTCGGATTTTAGATGTGTACACTATCCAATTCATAAGGCGTGTGGAAAAACATTCTGCTTTGAGTATGGAAATTTTTGGAACAATTGTGCACTTATAGGACAAATCAAAGGACAAGTCCGATGAAACTCGAAGGCAAAAAAGAAAGGCTGAAGGAAAAGAAAAAGAACGCGAGCATAAAAAACACAAGGTGCCTTTTTTGTCGAAAAGCATGTTAGTGTCCCTTCACTTAATTGGAAGAACGATCATCCTCTAAGTTGAAACCAATGAATGTTGGACAGTTTTTCTTTCTGCAATTTTCGTATAGTTAGGAATGATAACGTCAGCTCAGCACGTCCCGTCTCAACGATGGGCTAAATCTTTTTTGTTAGAATATGGGTCTTCAACAGAAGTGAATTGACGTGGTTCTTGAGCTTTTTTTTTACAAATATTTTACTGGTGATCACGAATTACAATGGGTTCTCCAATAGGTAGCAATAACTGTCCTAAAGAGTCACGGAAAGAGTGTCATAGAGAATAGGCCAAACTTTGGCATATAACTATGTTCTTTTAAAAAGTACTTTACAATGCTGTGAAGAGAACTTTATGTTCTAGACATCAAATATTCCAACGCAATGCGACGTCAGTACACCAAGTACATCATCTACTACCAGTTCTTCAGTTAAAACGGCACCTTTACCTTTTGGATTTGTCGGAAGTCTGAAGAATTTCAAAATTCCGAAGGTTAGTAAGCCAATTTCTGATGCTGATCAGAAACGATTAGGATGAGATTTCATAAAAATCGTTAACTTGTGCGGAAAAAAAATAAGTTCTATTCTAATACCACTAATAAATGTGAAGGATTTTTGCAGCGAGAGGATGTGAAGGAGAATGGGAAAGAAAAAGAGGTATTGCCCCCTGCTCCGACGCGACCTGTGCCACCTACACCTCCAACCCTTCCAAGTGGTTCCTTTAAATTTGTTTTATTTTTACATTTTATTTGTTTCCTTTAAGAGTATTATAAGATATGTATGTGAACAAAAGTCGCACGTTTCAGTGCCAACTCCCAATCCACCTCTTCCTTTGAAATCGGCGATACCAAAGAAAATTCCAGTTCCAATCCCACAGCCACCAATAATTCCAATGCCTCGTCAGCCCTTGCTCAGCACTCCACCGTCGGTACCACCAGCTGGACCACCACCGCTAGGTGGTGGACCTCCTCGTAAGCCACCAGGAATTCTTGATCATAGAGACAGAAGGTGAGAATGTAATATATGGTAAAAGCTTTTTTTGGCATGGCCATTGTTTATGCTCTCGAAATGGCTATGTGATTATGCATGGACGTTTGTATTCATATTTCTGAAGTATATAATTTCGTGTTTCATAGCTGCGTTTTGTAGATGAGTGGCTGACTTCTTTCTTTGTGATTCCGTAGGGTCAAATGAAGCGGTCAGTAGAAATAGCAGAATTAAAGGAAATCTTTACTTTTAAAGTTTCTTCTGTAGCACTGACTGTAGATTAGAAAGTAGGTGAGTGCTCCAGAACCTTGATGATTTACGAATTTTTCGGTGCATATATATATGTATATATATATATATATATATATATATAT